ATTTCACAATTGTTTTTTTTTAAATGTAAAACAAGATGCCCTCAGGGCTGTGCTCTAAAGACAGCTTTGCCATCAGCTTTGATGAGCACTCAGCTATAAATCTGTAACCCCACATCTCATTAAAATATTGCTACCTTTCAGAGAGAGGGAGAATGCACACTCTTCCTAGAAAGAAAAGTGAATACTGCTCCCCCTCTAAACTCTGGACCTCTGCACATGTCAGAGATAGAGATGCAATTGCCCGGACATAACAATATGAAACAATAGTTGTCCTTGAAAATTAGAGAGAGGAACTCACAGCGTTAAGAATAAAATTAAGAGAAGGCAAGAGAACTGAAGTTTCTACTGCTGCAAAACCAACTGACCAAAACCTCATCTGGCATTAAATAGCACAGCTGCAGTGAATCCAACAAGGCAATATTAATTTACACCAGCTGAGAAGCTACCCCAAAACTTGTTTGTAAAATAGAATCAACATTTAGGGTAAGTTTCAAATGCTTTAAAATTGGGAGGGCTCAAAGAATAAAGGACCTTCTGGGCAGAAGCTGTGTTTGAAAGGGACAGAAGGCAAGGCAGCTGAGATCTGGCATGGTGCTGTGTTCAAGCACATGCTGGGAGGAGATGCAGATGAAAGTTGTCCTTCTAAAAGTCAGTCTGCATCGCGCTTCACTCACTGGTGCACAGCAGATTGAAGAGGGCATGCATGTTCTTGTGCCAGAATTACATTGCGTACAACGATAACTCAGCAAGAAGAACAAACGAGTCTGTTTGCTTTCTTGAAACAACATCACTGAATGGCTTAATGCATGTCAGAAGGGCAAAAAAAATATAAGTTTTGTTCTCAGCTGTGCGCAAGAGCCGATGGATTGGGATGGGGTTGTGCAAGGATTGCATTAAACCCCATGGTACATTTCCAAGCCCTGTTTGCCTGAACAATTGACTCTGAGCACAGACACTTATCAATAGAAGCCTAAACAAATTTCAGAACAGGCTTTATTTTATTTTTTTGCTGACTTGAACATCAAGGTGTTCCAGGGTTGCGGTTGCTGTAGCAACAGGAAAGAGCTTATTAAATGATCAACCTGAAGGCCAAAGCTATCAGAGCTGAAATGACCAAAAGTTAATGTTTAACCTAAATCCTCTTATTTGTTTAAAAACATGCAGCTCACTTTGTATTAGCAGTTGCCTTGTGGAGCTACTTCAGAAATAGCTGTGCAGCCATGAGACCATCAAGATTTTCATATATATCCCAAATAAAGTCCAAATCCTCAGTGACACAGGCTCCAACAGCTGCCTCCTACCACAAATCATCTAACACCATACTTAGGAAAGGAGCCACTTCCTCTGATCACTTATGTCGGACAATCACTTGAAACACGTCTAAGGATATTGTTCTTAAAGATTTCCACAAACTAATGGCACTACACATTACTTTAAGAGCTAATGAGAATGAGCGTGATTCATTTTTAACCTCATTAGAGTCTGTCCTTTGGACAACTGTTCTGGGATGAGTTACGTTTTGCCTTGGGCCCAGTGAGTAGAACCAAATGGAAAGAGATTGCTGCAGCAAAATTAAATGACCCATCCCCTCCTATTGCTTCAACATGTCTAGCCTCCCTCGGTGCTTTTTCAGATGCCTGGCAGGTTACTCCTTTCCCAGCTTTCAACATTAACTGAAACTTTTCATCAATGAAAACCTGTGAACACCCAGGTGGGACCCTTTAGCTGAGGCTACTTTATGCTTGCCCTCCAGCTGAGCAATAACACCCCAAGGAAGGCTGCAGAGATATCTCACTTGGTCATCTTCTATTTCAGGAAGAAAGTAACACATCTTTGGCAGTCGCATACTAAAGGAGGACTTCTGTAGACCACTGCTTTTAGCAAATTCCTGCAGCTCTGACCTACTCTGACCATGTCCCACATGTCTGACTATACCTATCCCTGTTGGACACAGCTCTTAATGAAAATTAAAAGGAAAAATGCTTCTCTACTTCCTACTCCTAAACTTAACCAAAAAAAAAAAAAGTTCTATCTGACTTGGAGATACTCCTCTCCCAAGAGGGAACTGCAGACAGATCTCAACTGCAGATAGTAGCCACTAACACAACACATTGTAGTCAGGAAAATCACCATGTAAAATTAAGCTGTGAAGTATGATTATATTGATCAACAGTTTCACAAAAACAATACTTATTGCCATTGCGGGTGGAAGAGGGGAACCCAAAGCTCTATAAATACATTAGAGGAGCCAGGCCCAGGCCCAGCTGCCTGTCATGTGCTCAGATCATGCTTTGATGAAAGCTTGTCATCAGCTTTGCACCATTACAGCTGGAGGTAGTTGATGGGAAACTGTCTTAATCTAATGCAAAACAATTTGTTTAATTATAAGGATGTACCATCCTTGCTTGAGCTGTTGGGTCTCCCTTGCAGAGCTAGGAAACTGCATATAGAGACTTGAGACACCCAGACAGTCCTGAAATTGGCCAGGCATCTTAACACATCCCAGTCAGATGTTACCTTGCTTGTTTTTTGCTATCCTTCTGTCCCTCCTTCAGCAAGTTTCAGCTGACCTTGTGAGGGGCAGAAACATGAGTGGGACTGGGAAAGCCATACACCATAGATCGCTGGCAGTGATAAGAAGTCTAGAGGAGTCATCTGGATGGTCACATCCAGTTGTTTGTTTTTTTCCAGCTACCTCTATCCTACAGCAAGCATACCACACTCACTATCAGGGCAGCCCAACCCTTCCCAAAGACCCTACAACAGGCACAGTCATCTTCAGCTTCCTCCCTGCCTCCTTTGTCCTTTCCCCCCACATTACAGCTCTGCCAGTAAACGAACACAGGTCCAACCAGAAAAGGTTCGCTATGGGTCACCTCTATGCTGAGGCTGAGAAAGGACTGCTCTGCAAGGCAGCAGAGCTGTTTCCACAAGGGTGAGGATTAGAGCAGATGCTGAGCCATCCTGAGGAGGAACCCTCCAAGTGGTAAACCCCAGAACATAAACAAACAAACCCACCAAAAGCTCAGCTTCACTACTGCACTATCCCCTGGCTGCTTTCTGAAACCAAACTCCAAGGAGGAAGTGCACTTGGACTTTGCATGCACATGGTCGGCGTTGAAAGAGGCTGGGAAGGATGCCTGTGAGTTCCTTCTCCCAAAAACACTCCCCGTGTTTCAATCTAGCTGCAATCTGCAGACCTGCAGCTGTCGGAGTCAGCTCTCCCCGTGCTTGGTAATCCGAGGCTCTGCAAGCAAGCGCTTGCTGCTTGCCTCTCCTGCCTTCCTAAGGCAACACTTGCTCAGCAAACACAAATATGTTTACTGTGGAAACTTTGTACTTGCCTTACTGCCCTCGCTCTTTGCCAGGTGTTTTTCTTTTTATACCCACAGGAGACACAGAGCCATGTTCTAATATAGAAATATAGATTCGGGTGCAAGTGTTTATTAATAAACAGGCGGGCAAATCTATTTGCTTACTGCCTCATTTGAGTGATTTATTCAGTTATTTTTAGACCTCATAGTCTTAAAGCAGCAACATCAGGGACTGGCTATTGTAATAAAACCAGGCTAGAGCCACAGACTAATTTTTCCAGCGAATAAGAGATAAGTACACACAAGGGCACCCTGCACAAGTTAGCCTTTTTTTTCCCCCCCTCTCATCAGCTTAAAGTTAGTGTTTTCCATGATGTTCCTGAACTGCTGGGGATAAAAGAGCAGGAAATTCAGTGGCCAGGTAGACTGGAATCTCTACTAAGGGCTGCAATACAGAATCATGTCTAAGCATCCGGGTAGTACAGAAATATGCTGCTCTAAGCAACAATATCTATAGAAAAAGAGTTATGTACATACACATGTGAGCATAAGAAATCAAGTTTTTATATTCTGACTTTAAAAAGGAGTTTGAGATATACCTTAAAACCCACTAATATCACTTGCAAGGTGGAAAAAAATAAAAAAAAAATAAAACGATGTGCAAAACCTCCTGTCCTCAGGGGATTGCTCTCACTTCCTGAGGGTGCAGTCCTACGCAAACCTGCATAGAGGGTCCTGAAGGAACATAGTCAGATGAAGAAGAGGCTCATGAGATGAGACCCAAAGAGTTCCTTCACTATTACAGGTGAGGGTCTGAAAAAGGTTTCACTGATAAGGCTGTTTTTGGTCCCTGCCTCCCTCTGCCCACTGTGTGGAGCCTCCCTGAGATGACTGTCATAGGCTTTGCATCCCCCAGGGATGTGGGCTCAGCTGAAATGGCGTTTTCGCTGTTCCTAGCATCCTCCTGCTAGCCTGCTGCAATAAGCAGAGATGTTTGTTGATTTCAGCCAAATAAGCAAGCATAAATGCCAGTAAAACAAGACATTGCATATAACCCTCATCTGGAAGTTATTTTTGTTTGTATTTATGTTCCCGCGTGTTGTCAGGGTGATGTCTGGGCTCAGGCCCACACGTGGAAAAATCTGGACTGTGCCCTGCACTAGGAAACTCTCTAGCTCAGAGGCTAAATTGCATTTGTTCCTCCCCACTTCCCCAAAAACAGCCTATATGCTTGTCTTTAAAGCTCAGCGTACAGCCTCCTCTATCCCAAGAGGAGGAAAACGAAGAGTTGAGGTTTGTTTTCACAGTATGACAGTGGAGCAGGAGGAAGTCCTCAATTCCGTGCCAGGAGAAGAGAAACAAGCACGCATCCAGACAGGAGCACAATCCCCTGAGTCACACTTTGTGGTGCAGCCTAGTTCTGGCCACCTGAACTGGCCAGGGGCCAACTTTACATCCCCCTGGGCTAGGCCAGGCTCAACCCAGACCCTCAGCTCAGACACCTTGGTTAGAGCACCTCAGCTTCCTCCCAGCCAAGCACGGTTCACCACCATGTGGCTCAAACACCAGAAAACAGTCTTCACCCACCTGCCTCAAGCCTCTTTCACCCCTACAATGACCCTCTTCTCCTCAAAAACAACCTCAAGGGGTTCAACTGTGTCAGTGACAGCCTCCCCAGCACAGTACCTGCTGAAAGCTCATTCCTCAAAACATCTCTGCACAGGGCAGCTGCTCCTCCCTGCAGTCTCCTTTCCTGAGGGGTCTTGGAGGGGTCTGCACCCAAATAATTACCCCTGGCCAGCCACAAACTTTAGCAATAATTAGCAATTTTAGTTGCATTAGCAACTCCACTTACAGGGGCCTGGAGGTGCCTTCAGCTGAGGTCTCTAATTAGCCCCAGGCCCTTGGGGGAATCACACATCCCACCTGGGGCCAGCCTGAAGTCATCAACCCTGAGCAGAGAGGTGCTCAAGTACAAACAGGGTGAAGCCATGGCTCTGACAAATTCCGTAAGAATTTAGCCTTTGCTGACAGAGCTGAGACTTCACTTGAGCGAAACCTTTTTTTGGGTCTTGGTCTCTGCACTCAGAGCCTGAATGGGACAGGCTCCAAATCCGTGTCCTGCTTATCAACCTGGCAGCCACAGGCTCGCAGATCAAACATGAGGCAGGACATCAGGTCTGCAAATCACGTTTCCACCTCTGTCAAGGCAGCCACCAGTGTCCCCGTGTCTGTCTAAAAATGTAGGGGAGTTAAAGCCACTGCATTGCCTAAACAAAATCTCTGACCAGAAAAAGCAAAGCAAGGTGGAGGGTACAGTTTAGAAACGACTGAGAATATGACCTAAAAGATCTGAACATCTTTTCTCTGCAATATTTTCTCTTTTCCCTCATGATGGTAGCTGTCACATTGCAACACTAGTCAGAACTGTCGCTGTGTTGTTGCTGCCTCCAACTAAAGGCCCTAAAAACTTTAGCTGAGTCTTCACATCTCTCCAGTGTTGCATTTGCCCTGGAATATGAAAAGGGCCTTGTCATGAAAAATCATATTTCTGGGGTTGCTGAAAAGTGAGGGAAAAGTCAAATTCAAAAATAGCTGCTGAGGTTTGAACAAAACCAGACAGTTCTCCTGAAAATTCCCATTTGACAAAATATATATCCGGAAAAAAAAAATAAAAATAAAAAAATCTGAGGCTTATTTGACAGGAATGTTTTGACTGGTGGAGGAAGACCTTGATCAGGCAAGAGAGTATAGACAAAGGGGTTATGGAGAGTCATCCACTGCCTGTACTAACCTTTGTGACCCATGGTCCTAGGGCTCCTCCATTCATGTGGACACAGATGTGACTCATAAGGGCTCCTCAAGGACAAAAGTTGAGAGAAGTGCTCTCACTGGATTGCACTCCTTGCTCTTGCTGCATAGCTACATGACCTCAGTAAGTCCCCAAACAGCACCTCGCTTAAGTAAAACCCTTAGCAGACTATGAAGTTCTGCATACTTTCGTCTTTTACATTAGCTTATCAATAGAGCTTTTCTGGTAAAATCAAGACGTTCAGTTCACAAGGGAAGCTTCAGTGGCAAGAAAACAAGAAAGGAGCACCATTTCAATATGGCCAATTTGAGGGACCAAACCAGCAGCTCTGGGACCCGAACCAGGACAGCCAACATTCCCAGTAACTGCCTGCCACCACATTAGCAGTTCAGCTCTCTCTCATGCTCCCTCATATCTTCTGGTGAATAATTTTGGCATTTCCTACTGAAATTGAATTATGTTTTTTTCTGGGCAGCCCTAACTGTGCTTTCTTTGTCCTGCCCATCTGATTAAACTGCCTGCCTCTACAAATATACTGCGTCTATGTCACAGAGACCCTACTTGTGAGGTTTCTGGGTGGATTACACGTACCTAAGCAGTCACTGTGAACAAGGCAGGCAAAAACCTGTTTCTCAGCAGCACATCTCTCTAGCTACTGACTAGTTATTTGTTGATCAAATTAACTGCCTTGAAAACAATAATTAGCACTTATCACAACAAAGAGTAGAGTTTATTAATTCCAACACAAATTATCTAGTTGCAGAAGTTGAATAAAAGATCAGAATAAACAGCAGAGATTAAATTGGACTAGATCTTCTGTACCGACTTTCAAAATGAACACTCTTACACAATCTAAAATGTTTGTGTTAATAGATAACAGCTAGATAGATAGCTCACATACAGTGCATCAGCAACTGGTCATTTTCTTTTCTAAAACAAATGAGTTTGAGGAGATTCCTGATAAGCAGAAAGTTTCAAAGTCAAGAAAGGAAAGGTTGCAGGCAGATGAATAGGAAGACCCAGCAAGGTGCACATTGGATTTTAGCACAAGGAATCCTCTGAGGGTACTTATCAGCTTCACACCATAATGGTAAAGTTTTAAACAGTGTAGAAGTGCTTTATGGAGTGATAAAGTCAGCAATAAAAGGAAATCAAGCTGAACTTCTTGCCACTTACTGTGGGAGCTAACAGGGCCCCCACAGAAGAAGAATATGAACCATCTGCAGAGGCCACTTAGGGCCATTGCAAGGACTCAAAAATCCACAAGCAGATACAGCCAAGCCGTCCCCTCCTGTTCCCCAGGGTTCTGCAGCAGCCACAGGGACCACAGTACACCTGTTCCAATGTCACTCATGCTGCATCAGCAAAATGAACACATTTGTCACCCCTTGTGCTTGACCTGATGGTTTTCTACAGTACAGATCCTAGGCCTATCCAGAGGGCTAAAATGCATCCCCAGTCCTCTCACAGTGTGCTTCAATTAATTGCATCTACACATCAGTGTACATGTCTTAAAATCACATCATGTGATGAAGGTCTGGGTCTGTGAGAAGGAAATGTTGTGTTTGGGTTTGCTGTACAGCTCTGCTACAAGCTGCCCAAGAAATACTAGTCAAATCATTTAAATCCATTTTCTGCCTTTGTGCAATGAAGGTGACAACTACTCTTCAGGGGGCTTGAAAGGCTTAAATCCCCAGTGGGAAGCACGTTCAGCTCTTCAGCTGAGAGATGCTAGTGAAGTGCCAAATATTGTTATTAATTTAGCACAGCTAATTTGTTCCATGGAGATTAGCATATGACTGCTGGAGCCAAGTGAGGAAGGTAGCTCCAGCTCTCCCTGGATTCATGGTCCTCCACCCACCAGGGATCCATGGCAGGGTATCAGGTAACTCTCATGAAGTCATCAGGACTGATTCTAATTTGCTAATCATTTCCTGAGGCATGACACAGATTGATTCACATTAAACTTTCATGGGTGCCTCTGATCTCATGCACAAGCTTGGACTACCCGCAAGGCACTGCCAGCAATACTGAGCAAGGGGCAAGCACTCAGGCAGCTGGGCAGTGCTTGGGAAGGGCTGTTGGGAGCTTTGGTGGCCAAAGAAAACCCACTCTCCCTTGAAGAGAAATGTGTTACTAATGTGTGTTTATTTATCAGCTGTTGGAATACACAGCAAGGAGACTAAAGGTCCCAGGTGGCAGGTAAATGAACAGCCTCCAGTTGTGCCATTAATTCCTAAGGAGCGAGAGGAAGAGCTCACCAACTTGCCATCTGTAAATCACTAACTGGCTCTTCTGGAGAGGACAGATTACTCCTCATCTCTTCCAGCCAAAGCTGGTCCTCCCCAGCAGCCCTTGCCACTTCCAGAAGAGACGGACATCTATCTGCCTTTTCATCATCAGAGGCTGTTCCCCCAGCAGCCAAAGCAGAGGGATCTCACTGACAGCATGGGGCTCCCCGCATCAGCCCTGCCCCAGGACGTTCACATCCCACCTCAGCCCCATAGAACTGCAACACTACATGGTCAGACCCCAGCTCCCATCCATCAGCCCGCGTGCAGACGCGCTGCTGCCCTCAGCACAGTCTGGGTGTTTTTCCAGCCTCTCTGACATAATAAAATTTCCAAGCCCTTTGCCCTCCCTGATGCATTATCTGCCACCAGGGACAGCCGGGCTGAATGAATCAAGCCCCAGCCAGCTCTCTAAGGTCCAGGACATGCTGTCCATGGAAAAACAACACACAGCAGAGAAACAAAAAGTGAGAGACTACCTGGCTGCCACTTATAGTCTTCTCAGAAAAAGCCAGCAGTCAACAGCCAAACCTGAACATTCACGTCACTCTTTCACTTATGGAAGCAAGTGTACTGAATGCCTGGACTCTTTTCAGCCCAACAGTCCCATCTCTGCATTTGCAACCATAACATTGGAATAACTAGCAGGGCTCAAGCTGGTGCCCGCTGGAGTCCATAGGAGATGCAGGTGCCAGAGGCTTTTTTAGATGCAGAACAGTGATTCTTTGTACCTTTCTTTCTGTGGGTTGCAGGACTCCACCCTCAGTCACATGCAAAACAATTCCTGGATGGATGTTTCCACTAAAGACCTCAGAGTGTTTTGTAATTATTGAGTTTCCCGGTATCCGCGTCATATGGATAAATAACATTTCTGCTTATGGAAGTGCTAAGACTCACTCGAGACCCCTCCAAGAATCAGCTACAGCATCAGGAAAAGTGACATCCTTATAGCAGGAAGGCCCCAGGGGACTCAGTGTGATCCCAGCCCTGTCTCTCCATGCCTGCCAGCTGCCCAAGGCGCAGCCCTGGGACTCCCCTCCATGCCATCCCTGCCACTGAGCTGCAGTTGCCCCAGGGCTCTGCACTCTGACTGCCGCTGGCTGCTGGCCGAGACCACCCTCCTCCTACACAAGACGCAAAGCCCTTCTGCGCGCAATGAGCCTGTCACCTATTCGTGCTGGAAAAAGACCAAATGGGGTCTGTTACACCATAACATGCTTCACTTTCTGTTTTCATTCCCCTCTCTGTTCCCTTCCAGGAAATTACAGGCCACATTCACCTTGATTTTCTCTGCCTTTCAGGACAGTTACAATTCCAACATGAGCAGAGGAAGTTACTGTCATCTAGTGCAAGCAAGACGAGTGCAGGTTTCTCCAACAGTTACTTGTCACCCCCGCATTTTACTCCCATTTTACCTAACGACTTGGCCCTGCAGAGATGCAAACACTGCCCTCTGCTCCTGCTGGCCAGAGGGCTGCTGGATGTTGCTCTGCACTGCAGGATGCTTGAACAGAGAGCTGGGGCTCAGCAAGATGCTGGCCAAGGCATACATACTCCATAGGGCAGGACAGGTGAGCTGATGAAAGCTCTCCACAGCAATGTCTCCAAGGGCCAAGAGGTTCATCAAGCTGTAGCAATGTAGGAGACCAAGTACTAACATGGGCTTTGAGTCAGCCTGACCACAAAACCATTAGAAAAGTGGTACTTGGGCAGGGAATGCAGCAAGAGCTGGAGGATGCGCTCTAGCTCCAGCTGGAGGAAGACCTGCGGAGCTGGCAGAGCAGATCGAAGCTTAGCCCTGGGAAATGCTGAGCACTGAGTAGCTATAAACCGTACAATATAGAAACATTGGACCAGAAGAGTCACTAAGTCCTATCTCTGCAATTGCATGCAAACACACACTAGGTGTTAAGGCCAGAAGATTCTTTACAATATCTACTTTTCACACACCACACACCCTCAGCCCCTTCCCCCAAGCAAACTAGAATAAAACTAAAACCTGTGGGATAAGAGACTGGTAGCCACAAAAGCACAGATATCCCAGAAGAAACGACTGAGGGAAGCCAAGGACCTGCCGGGATCTGCGGTCCCTGCCTTAGCTGGGAATATTTTTCCCTGGGTAAACCATGGCAGTCACTGTCCTTGGCTTGCACTGAAGTCAGTGGGAGCTTAGCACAACTCATTCTTTAAGAGCAATGTCTCTGAATAACAAGAAAACACAGCATGGCAATCACTGAGCCCAGTGAATAACGGGTTTCATAGGTGCTCTCAGAAGGGGAGAAGGAAAATCCCGTCTGGCTCCAAACAGCTTTCTATGTGCATTGGCAGGTCCTTGGTATTTCTCCCAGACGGGGAGGGCAGGCCCGAGCCAAGTGCCCATGGTACAGCACATCCAGGCTTACATAACCCAAGGGGCCCAGGGTAATAATTAACACTGGCTTATTGCCACTGGCTTTGTGCTGGAGTCACCTGGCTGTTTGGATTAAATGTATAGTGGCCATTTAGACAAGGAGAAGGCTCCCGGCACAAGGATTTATGTGGAAACAACCCCCAGGGAGGGCAGTGAGCAGGGGACTGTTGCAAACACGTAATGTGGTCAGGGGAGCAGGAACCTTTTTAGGGAGCTTTGCCTGGGTGAGTCCCAAGCGCAATGTACCAGCAAGCGAGCTCTCATTTCTCTCTCCTTGGCATCCTTTCCAAAAGCAGACACTATCAGCACAGCTCAACTTTATCTCATGTCCCGTCTTTACCTTTCTTTGCTTATCTGATGTTTCACTTACACGTCCTATCACTCTTTGCTTTCTATAACCTTCTGTTTGCTATTGATACGCGGTCTGTGCCACTGTCTGGGGCAAAGGAGATTTGGGACTTCTTGGTCCTGTTCCCACTTTCCCTCTGCTTTGCTCTGTGGTCTCGGACACATCATTTCACTGCCCTCTGATTAGCCACAGGTCATAGAAGTCAGGTCACCTTACAGAAACGTCACTTTACTCTTATTCCTTACACTTAGTCCTTACCTTGAGAATGACCTTCCCAAACAACGGTTCCTCCACCACTAGCTCTCATGAAGAGCTTATAAACAGCCAGAAATTGCCAGTAAAACCATTCAGAATCATAGAGAGCACTCACAAGTGTTAGGGACTGGCTCACAGTCATTATACAAAGGCTGCAACACTGCACAGGTGTCCATTCATGCCTCAGAAAGCCAATTAGAGATGTTTTAAGTTAATGAGACTTAGGTATATGCATAATGATGCCATGCTGTGCAGAGTTGCCAAAGCAAAGACATGATAAACCTATCTACAGATGTATCGTTGAAGAACTTATATATATGCTTATCTTCAGGTGGCTTAAGGCAAAGCCACCTTTTTCTCATGAATTAGCAAGACCTACAGCCCAGCCTCGGCAGGCCTGTAATTCCATGTAAAACAAACACCCCAAACTATTTTTTTTTAATTTCTACTTTTTTTGTGTGTGACAAACCTCTGAAAATACCATTACATTTCATGCAGAATTAACTCTCCTTTCACAGCAAATATGACCCCGCTCTTCAGAGCAAAATGCTGAAACTTTAAGATAAGCTTATATTTCCCTACAGGTAAGTATCTAAAACTAGGGAAAAAAAATACAGAAACACACACACACACACACACACACCCCACACAGAAACTGTGCTTAGAAAAGGAAAACAAAAAGTAAGAGAGAGTAAGTGTTTCATGGACAATATTCCAAGCTAAAACATAGCTTAGATCTTAAGATTTCTGCACTGCTGTGCTCCAAGAGTGGGTATTTTGCATTACTCCACTTCAGCTGTAAGTACTGCCTCTTGTAGAAGAAATAACAACTTCTGCCCCAAGTACCTTGCAGGGTGAATTACCCAACATTACAGCAATATCAGAACTCCAAAGGAGATGGGGAGGAGACTGAGACACTGGTTAAAATAAAGCAACTTGTTTAATGCATAATGTCTGTAGGGTGAGAACAGAAGGGAATCGGAGATCCTCTTGGTGCAGGTTTGCTAATTAAAGCTTCTATGCAATTAGAACTCTTAAAGCAGCTGTCCTTAGGACTCTGGTCTTCAGGCTACATCTCAGGAGGTAATAACACCACAGAGTGACCAGAGCTTGCTCTGCCAAGTCCCTCAGTCCTCTTGCCAGGCTCATAGGAGTGCTCTAGGAAAAACAAAGGTCTGGAGATCCATGGCTCATCAGCTGGCCTGTTTTGGTGGCTGTACTTCAGGGAAATGCTTTAATCCCCAGGTGCCATTAGTCTCAGTGTGATTCTTGCTGGGAGAAGCTCTGGACCCGCTGCACCATTGCTCCCATAGAGACTCAGAAGTGGACACCAATAACGTTGCTGGTTTCTTCTCACAGTGTAGGCCGAGCACCCGAAAGCATATTGCAAGAGATGTCCCAGCTTGCAAACCACAAGACTATCGTGTTTGTGCCTGTGTTGTTGCCCATGGGAAGCAATGGTTGTTGCAGGACAGGGCATCTTCTCCTCAGGCCTGAGGCATGCTTCTTACCACAGGTCCCACACATCTCTCCTTCAGATGTGGGATTCGCAGCAGAGCCAACTGAAGCGCCTTGGCACCAAGACCTCCACCGTGCTGAGCCATTCTTTCACAATCTAATCCCGTGACCGGTCTTACTGCATGCTCCTTCCATCCAAGGATCACATACACAGCAGTCAAGTCCCACAGTGTCACCACGATGAATTGCCATCCCCGTTTGACAGGACAGGGAACTGAGGCACATGGCAGTGGAGCCCTTTGCCCTGGGTCACACAGCGAGTCACCATCCCAATCTCAGACTCTGAAACCCTCCTTCTTCATGCTAGCCCCTAGAGCTTGAATTTCCTCAAAACCTGCTTGCTCTAATTTATTAACCACAGTCTGACTGAGGTTAATAGTCAGCTGCAGACCTGTTCCACAGCCGTCAGAAACCACAGAAGGCATTCGGGGCCCAGCGGCTGCCAGGCGAGGCGTGAGAGCTCCGGTGAAACATCTCGCACCTCCCAAGAGCTTTGAGGTGAGGAAAAACTGAAGGCGGCTTGAGGTCTGTTCCATCACCTCTCTGTTACTCAGCACCTGAAAACTTACATCCAGGTGAATCAAAATTTCATGCGCTAACTTGATTTCAACCACTTTCTTGATTACAGAGCTGGCTACAAAGGAAATGGATGAATAATAATTTCAAAAAGGGATATAAAATTTCCATTTTCATTTTATTGTCAAAGTAAATATATTTTTATGAAGAACAAAAGAAAATATACAGAATTGTAACTTATGTACACTGGCTTTATAGGTATTTTTGTTTCCAATTTACACAAATTTTGATACGTTATTAAAAGATATTTTATATAGATATGCATCTATGTACAGTTTTATTTACATACATTCATAGGATGTGATATAAACCAGTCAATAGATGATAGCTCATTTATATTAATTTCTAGAGGACAAAAGGAATGCATTCGCTTTAGCTAGACCTGCTGTTCTTACACAGCGCGGGCTCCTGCTCTGCCTAGCACTAGGACGGCAGTTATCTATTTCCCATTTTGCCAACAAAAAGACAAACAGATGCTGTCTGCGAATGGAAAGGAAATGCAACATCCATTATAAAATCGTTCCTAATTACTGAATTCTATTTTCTTCTAAAGCTTCTTACAATCGCCAGAGTTCAAAAGGAAAAACAAAACAAGAAGAAGAAACACAAACAAAATCGCTTGCCTGCTACCATCTGATTATTTGCTTAAATTCCCTTCTTAGCCATCTGCCATACGAATTTGTTTCTTTTGGCTACTGTTCTCACCCATTTGCCCAGCCCAGCTGCGTGGAGCTCTGACATGGCTGTTGATAAGGGAAGGTTCAGCGCTGAAGCTCACCCTGGGTCAGAAGATCTCCTGGTGCTGTCCCACCAGGCCATGATGCTCCCCTTGTTCCCAAGTCACTGGCACACCCTGACAAATGGTCAAGGATACAGAGGCTCAGCCCCAGCCAGTGTGGGCAGGGGATGCTCGGGATGCCCAGTGCTCACCAGGACCACTGGGCACCTTGGGGTTTCTCCTCAAGGATCACACAAGAGGACAGGAGTGGAGATGGGAGCATAGCGCAGCCATTCTTACAAACAGCTTCCTGTTGCTTTACACTCTAGACAACAGATCTTCTGCTAAAGACAGTGGATGCTTCCAAACTGTCAAAGGAAAGCAGCGTTTCCTTTGATGCGTGGGCATCCTTTCACCCTCAGTGGCAGCACAGGACAGGAAAAGCATGCACATGATACGCAGTGAGCCACACCAAAAGGCCTCCACGCCAACCCATTTCACCCAGCCTGAGCTTTGGGTTTGTTTGGGATATATCTTTGCTTAAATATATACATATATATATGTATGAATATATATACATAAATATTTATATATAGCCCTAACCGAGGAAAAGGTAAATGTGAGCTGGAGAAATGAGAGAGGTGTGGGGGTGCATTGCAGCGCTTGCCTCTCCCTCTCCCCGACTCCCACTGTTCCTCCTCCTATGGCCAGCCCCTACAAATCCTTGGCTCAGGCAACCCAAAAACAAAGGAGTTGTTTTCATTTCAAAAGGAATTTGCTGTTTCCAAACTGGACAAATAGAGCAGCTTAATAAAAACTCACAATGAATGGCCTGTACATGAGCAAAGCCCTCAGGAATGCCAGGGCTATAATTAACTAGCTGCAAGCAACTCTTACATTTTCATGTGCAGCAGAAAACAGCTAAAAATAAAACACTGTAATTTCCAAAAGAAGCAGCAGGAAAGAAGGGAAAGATAGGAGGAAAGGAAAATAACATCCTTAAAAAAAAAAAAGACAAAAAAGGAAGAACACCCCCCTCCCCTGACCCAAAAAGAACTTCATTCTCAAATCATCTTTAAAGGACATGGGACACTCAGACATGGTGGTATCAAGTAACAGCATTGACTGTTGTGTGAAGACAAATAAATTATCACTAGAAATATAGTGAGCAAAGTGCTGTCATCGGCTGCTGTAGGACGGCTGGGCGGGAAGGGGAAAGCGGGACTGATCAGTTCACGGAGCGGACGGAGCGGTTGCTTCGGGGGAATCGATGCACCTTGACGTGTTTGGACAAGTGGTCGCTTCGAGCAAACTTCTTCTCGCAGACGGGACACTGATAGGGTTTCACCCCCGAGTGGGAGCGCCTGTGCCGAGACAGCTCATCTGACCTGGAGAACCTGCGAGAGAAGAGAGGCCTTTTCAGACAAATGAATAAATTCTCTTACGGCCCCCAAACCTCCCCTCAGGCCACTCAGAAACTCTGCTTGTGGCAAAGCCCAAATATGCAAACTGAAAGGGCCAAGACACACGACAGAGCCAGTCTGGTCCCAGCCAGAGGTCAGCAATAGTGATGAAAACACACAATTCACAACCTCATCCCATGTAAACTCAACTCGGCACAATGCATGGATGCATCATTTGTAGAAGCCTTGCCCTAAGCCCAATCATAAGGCTGCAGCTCAAATAGATGGCTCTGCTCCTGATCCCTCCACTAGTCCCCTTCAGAGCCAGTCCCACAGCCTCCCTCCTGCAAAGCCAAGCAGAGGTAACCACCAGCATCCCACAGGTGAGGTCTACTCCAAGCTCCCACCAGCACTATGGCACATCCATCTGAGATGAGCTCCAGATAACAGCGAGATATAGCTACCCAGAAGCTATCCAGTTTATCAGATCCAGCTGAAAAATTGGCCTTTGCACATGCTCCTGCAGGCTAAATGAAGAGCAATTAGCAGCTCAGTACTAGAGATGCTCAGGGCTGTAACAGCTGAAATCCAGGTGGGCCCCATGGCCATTAGCATAGATACTTCAAGAGCAAATTGAAATCAAGATGGGGACTTTAATTACCAAAATTGTCTCTCAGAGTCATTTTAATTTCAGATATTCCCCACTTCCCACCTCAACAGAAAAATCCCCAAATCCCACTGCTAGTCTCATAGGCTTTACTGAACTTCAATCAGCCAGTCCTTTGGTCTGGGCAGCAGGGCTGGCTCTGTTTCCAGCTTGGACATGACTGGGAGCCACAGGGTTAATTAGCACTGTCATACTAAAACAGCCCTGTCCAGATGGGTACAAAAAATTTGCTGCCTGACAAAGGGCAATTAAGTGTTTTGTTGCCAGCACAGTAACAAAGAGCAGCACAGAAAGAGAGCTTGCAAGAAACGGTATCAGCTGTTTATTTACAATAAATAAATGAAGTCATGGGCAGTAGTGGAATAAATGGGGGAAAGAACATGTAGAAAAATGTGCCCTTCTGGAGCAAAATATCACATCACCAACCGGGTGAATACGCTATTTTTATGAAAGGGGAAAAACAGGACTGCTGGGCTCCTATGAATAAGTCCTTCATGCAAGAAAAATAAGTTTCCACATAAAGGTTTTAATTAGCAGTGATCTCCCGCCACTAGTTGCAGAACAGGGCACGGGCACTGGGAACACTGGGAAGAGCTCCTTCAGTTCCCACAGCTCTTCAGTCTGCTGCTGCTACCCTGAGAGAGCCAGCACAGAGCAGATGCAAATACTCGCCCTGGGCAAGGTGCGGTGTGGATGCATCTCCCCCTGGGGCATTTCTAGGGGAGATTCCTTCACCTGTTCTCTTACTTTTCAGCCTTGTCCTTGCTGTGGTACCTCCATGGTGAAAGAGTCAAAGTTATAATCAAGAGCAAAAGGCAGGTGCTCTAGTGGAGCCACCAAGCCATCCCTTGCCCAGGATGCATCTTCTTCACAAAGGCTGCCACAGGAACTTCTTTTTGCCTCTGGGACCTGCAGACTTGCTTGCTGTAACACCCCTGCTCCTTCCATCCTAGGCTTCCTGAAACCACATCCCGGATCTAGAAGCAGCAGGGCCAGGAGCTTCTCCCATGTCTCTAGCAGCGAGCAGGTCCCAGTGCCGCATCCCTGGGGTAATGGTCTTACAGAGCTAGAAGCAAATGGGATTTGGCAGCGTTCTGGAGAGAGCAGGTTGCTGCCTGTGCAGGCTGTCTCAGAGGGACTCAGGACTAGGAACAGACCAGTTGCCAGAGATGGCAATGGCAACCACGTCAAGGAAAAGAGGGAGCAGCAAGAGGAAAGCTCCTTTGCAAAGAGCTGCCCTCTTATATATTGCCTTATCATCTAGGGAAGGAGTAAAACCAGATGTGGTTGGGTTGCTTTGTCCCATGTCCTTGGCTGTTAAGGTCACCATCTGCAACAGAAGTGCCGTAGCACATGGCTAATCCCGCACAAGAGCTCCACAAGTGCATTTCAATGGGAATCGCATGGTGAGTGGGGGAGAAGGAGGTGCACATTGGGAACAAGCAGCTCTGCTCCTACCCTGGGAGCTCGGATGAGTTCATCCGATAAAAATACACTCTGCCTCATAACGATGTCCTTAGCTGAAGAGGCAGGAATGTTGCAATACTGTTCCCCAGCAGTCACGGAAAGATCAACTTACGAGCCCACAGAAATAAACCTCAAGCTATCGGTGTGTTTACAAAAAAACAACGCAAAGGTTAGGACAAGGAAGCCGGGAAGACCTGGCGGCCTGGCTCCACGGTGAAATGATATTTGCAGCACATTCTGGCGCTGAAAACACCCCAAGAACCAGGCAATCCCACAGCAACTGGAAGAGTTGCTTCATCCCCCTGTCTGGTGGGACCCCACAGGACCTGTAAGCGCATCTCCCTTGGAGATAAACCTCAGAGCTCCCTGGTGTGCGGGACACGTGTCCTTGTGGCTCCTGGCTACACAAGGACACGTGGCTCGCAGGGCAGGAAAGGTCAGTCACTTCAGCTGGTCCTCCACAGCCCCCACCATGGCCACCAGCTACTGGGCTGAGCCAGGCTGTACCTCTGCCCTGCAGCGGAGAGGCTCTGGATGTGCATCCTGACCTGCCCTACGCCTCTAAAACCCCCAGCCAAACCTCTGCCTCCTGCACTGCTCCCAGCCCCAGCATGCACAGGGCCCTTAAACGCTCCGGCCTAACCCTGCAGGTGTTAGGAACAAGGGCAGTTTTGGGTGCTGGTGCCCAGGGAAGGGACAGTGAGAGCTTCTGCGGCTCCTGATGCAGCACGGCTGCTCGGGCCAGCCTGTGCCACAGCCCCATGTGTTGGTGGGGATGTCTGAGGGGCAGAGAACCAGTGGCTGCCAAAGGCACGAGCTGGCCAGGCACGGATCAGTGCGCCAGCCAGTCCAGTGGGGTATCGAACTCAACGGGTCACTGGCCACTCCTCACCACCTCCTCTGCACCCTGCAGGAAACATTTCTCTCCCTGCACCAGGGAAGGGCACCAGCAAGGAGGATTCAGCCTCCTCCAGGGCTCTGCCACTGTCCTGGAGTTTGGCGAAGCCCCCCCACAGCCCTGCCCTGGTGCAGTTACAGCACACAGCTTCCCTGTGGCAGCGCTGCCCAGTGAGCAGGGCGAGCTTTAATCCCCTCCACTCAGCCGCCTTGTGCTAGGCAACACTTTGTTTTGTTTTCGAAATGACCATCTTCAGCAAGCTCAGATCTCAAGTGTCTTTGGTGAAAAATAAATACACAAGCACAAGAATGTGGGGGAAAGAGGGAGGAAAGCAGAGCCCTGCAGCACTTTGGTGCTTAAATTCATTTGAGATGATACAAAACTGGGAGAGGACAGAGAGTCCGGATGCATTTGACATAAGTCATGCGAGACCACAGCTCTTGTTGCACTTCTGGAAAAGGTAAACACGCCTTATTAATGAACGGGGGCTGAGCAATTCAGCGCTCTGTTGGGTCTACCCTTTGGTGTGGCAGTGGGATGCACGAAGCCCCAGCTAGCAGCGAGGAGGGAAGATGCCTCCCTCCCCTCCCACCTCCATGGATGCCCTGCTGAAATCTGGGGGTGCTGGGGGCCAGGTACCTGCCTGTGCCACATGAACACAAGACAAGCAACCAAAGTGAGTTTGCACAGCTCCCCCAGCAGCTGCTGGTGAACAGGAGAAACTCCTCATAGATAAAGGGATCGATTCATCCCTAGTGGGCTCCTCTTCTTTAAGGGGCTTGGCTGGCAGAGAGCAAAAGGTGCAGATGCTCCGTGCTGCTGGAGCAGCACATCTCCTGGCCCACCCGACGATGCACCCCGTGCTGCAGCAGCAGGCACCCAGCTGCCAAGTCAGCATCCCTCCCTGACTGCTTCACGTGTTTCCCTAAATGCTTCCCTCTGGTTCTGCAGCCTGGAAAGCAGCAGCCCTGCGGGAAGACAGAGCTAGAGGTCACCCAGAGGCAACGCTTCAGACTCCTGAGCCTGAGCCACACAAGTCACCGGAAGCATTGGCATAAATCTCGGCATGGACCAGACCCAAACTCTCACGTGCCACATGCATTTGCCACGGAAATGAGGGTTTTGCTCACATCCCAGCACGAGGAAAGCCAACACGACACCTACAGGCACGTTCGCAGGCAGAAGGCACATCTGCTGCCTGTGTGCACATACCCTGACAGCCGAATAAACAGGAGCAGTGCCCCTGTGACAGGCCAGGAACCGCACCACCTGCGCCTGGCGGGACAAACTGGGGAACAAGGGGGCTTTAATTTCAGTGCATTTCCAGCAGCAGCCCCTGAGCCCAGCTCATCAGCAGTGCCACAGGCACAAATGAAAAGAAAATCCCTGCCTGTTTATACAAACACCACAAACTGAAACAAGGAAAAAAAATATCACCAAAGAAATCAATTGCAATGATCCCCCCAGGCCCCCCGAGAGGCTTCAAACTAGTCCAGTTTGGGAACAGAGGATTCAGCCCTATTCTGACCTTTTCCCTCAAACCAATCCAGCCATCTCTAATTGCTGCATGTCTCACATAGTTGCATTTTTACTCAACGCTCTCCTGTTACTTTTTACCTTGTCTGTTCCCCATGATCACCACCCATTTCCTCATTAGACATTGCTCACTGAAGCTCTGCAGGATATTCTTTGAAAGAAATGTGGTTTAATTTACTACAAGGGAGTTAAGGCTATGTTTTGCTCCCATCATAATTTGTGGTGCTCTTTATTAACACTAGCCAGCAGGCAGACTATTAGCACAGCTAATTGGAAAGAGGGATGAAGGCCTCCATCAAAGTTTCTGTCAAAAAAAAATTCAAATTTTTCTCTTAAAAAGTTTTAATGCTTTCTACTGGTATATATATAAAAAAAAAAAAATCACCTCTACTTTTGTAGAGATCACCTGTACAAAACGTTTTGCTCAATCAAACCTGCAATTTTCCATTCAAGCAACACTCAATTCCATCTCAGCCTTCTGGGTATGTTGTTACATCTGACAGCTTTTTGCAACTTTGAGCAGCACCCACGCATTTTTCTCAATCAATGCAGAGAATAAAACCCAGAGCAGGCTGGAGTGCCAGTGCCAGCATTTCCAGAAGGAACAGGATGGAGTGTGGTTTCTACGAAACTGCACAAAATGCTCTTCTTAACTGCATTTACATGTCACAGCCCTTCACTGATCATGCTTAACCCTCCGCAGCTGGAGCCCCATACAGCCATGCACACCGTGACTCTGTCCTAAACCACCCAGCTCATTTACAGCCCTCAGCTGGTACCAGCTGAGCATCTGATGCAGCTGGTGTGTTGCAACCAGATCCATGTGACTGCAAGGCATTGCCTGCAGTAACAGGCTTAATCTGACCATCTTGGAATGAAATATAAGTTATAATGGGCTTTAAAGACACTCATACAGCTGGTGGCAGCAGGTGATGCTCTGCCACTTAATTTATCTAAGCCCTTGGATTACCTAATAGTAAGAAAAAAGTTCAAATTCTCAAACAAACCAAGCCACTTTTGGGAACAGAAACTGTTCAGAAATGAGTGCAAACACTGAGAGTGCTCAGAAAGTTCAGTGAAACGAGCAAAAGGGCGAGGGGAACTGGACCCTGCTGCACCCCAATACTAACCTCCATCCACAACCTGGCCACGTGCACGCAAAAGGCTTTTCTCCTGTATGCCTCCTCAGGTGGGCTTTCAAATGGCTGCTTTTCGTGTACATCTTGGTACAACCAGGGAAAGAACATTTGTGCATTTTAATGAGTTCTGCTGCAGGGTTCTTTTGAAATTTCTGACCCATGATGATTCCCGTCTGACCCTGGATCATGCCTCCTGGCCCAATTGGCTTGGCGGCGATGGGGACGGGAGCAATGCGGACAAATTTAGAGGACAAGTTCAAATTGGATGACTGAACTATCTGGGGCACAAGGGCAAATGTCTGTCCTTGGATGTTGACTAGGAGCTGTGCAATTTTAATGTTGTCTTGTGCTGGTCCTTGGGAATTAGGGCTGGTGTTGGACTCCTGTTTGACCTGTACAGGTTGAATTTGGAGCATAACCGGTATCCCATTCTCCACGGGCATTCCTCCATTTGAAGCCTGGCCACCTTCCGTCGAGCTGTTCAACTGTTCGTTTTTACTCTCTTTTAAGCTAGCGCTGGGTAACATATGGTCTTTTTGCTGTAGCGAGGCAACAGAAACTTGGCTGCAAGCTCTCAAGTCCTTGGTCTCACTTTTAGGTCTGTCTTTGAGCTCCAGCTCCATGTTCTCTTCCAGAAATTCCTCAATTTCCTCAAGTGTGGGCTGAAATGGTCCAGAGTCTTCCATATCCACAGCAAATTCAGGCAACCTAAAGTACTCCTCTTTGACTATGGGCTGAAGTCTCCTTTTGTCCCACCATGACATGGTGGTGTTCCCCAGAGATGCCTGGGACAACAAGTAGTCTAAGATGCTGTCCTGACTCTCCGCACTGGACGTGCTCCCATAGCTGGAGCTGAGAACCTGGGAGTCCGGGCTGGAACAAGAACAAAAGCTGGACGAGTCGCTGTCATCTTCTGACAGGGGAGAGGGCAGCATTTGGTAGGACCTCACCCCTGCCGTCATGTCCCCAAAGTATCCCAGAGAAGACCTCATAGATGAAAAGGACTCATCGGTAGGCAGCAAGTGATCCACCATTCCTGGGCGATGTCTTAGGGTATCCCAACAGCATATACCACGCGGCAAAGGTTCAGGTGGGAGCCTGGGTGCAGGGAAACAAAACAGCAGCAGTCAGAACTCAGTTTAATCATTTACCTCCATGAACTAAACCTCGCAAAGCCCTCTAGCTCGCAGGAAAGTCCCAAGAATCCAACCTTGGTGCGCACATGCTGCTGCACGCTGCGATACGTCTGTACCACCCCCAAAGGACTGTCAGGGCCTAAGCGCCTCGCAGGATTGCACCACATATTTGCAAAAGAATTCTTTCAGAAACCATTTCACAACCGTGTGTACTCTAGATTTACAGCTCCCTTCCAGAATATTACTGGCCAGAGGAAATATATTGCGGGCTTTCACCTAACAGTGAAACTGAGAGCCAAAGAAGGGAATGGAGAGGGGAAAAAAAAGAAAAAAGTATTGAAATTTTTAGCACCCATAAAAAAAAATAATCAAGTTTACTGCTGGTATCCATAAAATGCGAATCCTTTCCTTATCTTGTAGCTTTCCACCAACCTTATTTTTAACTTCCTCCGTTCCACAAATATAGGCTAATCAGCGGAATGCAAGGATCAATCTGTCAGGAGCCAGGAATATTTAGTGTGCTTCAGCATTTACTAGGCGGATTTTCCCCTCCAGATGTAATGAATCAGTGTGCCAACGTCATCGTCACCTGCGCTGCCCTTAATCAGGCTGGCACGGCGCTGAGCTAATTGCCACGGCCTGGCAAGGCAGCTGGTGGCTGCTTTCACCCCATCACTCTGCGCTCCCGTCTCTCTCTGGTGGCGGAGAATGAGCTGACCCCAGCCTCGTGCCAGTTGCTGAGTGGGGAGGGCAGCCCTGTGCCTGGTCTCCCCCATGTGGAGGTGGCAAAGGGGCAGTGTCCCGTGGGGCCACCCTGCCGTGAGCCCTAACCCTGCTGCCACCCGTGCAGACACCGCAGCCAAACCTGACCTTGCTAGCGCAGCCGGGCACATCCCATGCTTTCCCAGTTAAGCCCAGCAAAATTCCCAGTACAATTACTGGGGAGGCAGGAGGGACAAGCTGTGGGTTTGTTTTCTTCTTTTTTCACCCCCACCCCGGTGGAAAAGAAAAAAAAAAAATTGCTTACGGGCTGGAGACTGTGCCCCTTAGAGAGCGACTGCAGAGACCTCCGGACGGAGCAAACACTGGCTCTCAGTCATCCGCTCAAGGTGACTGATTGAAAACAGAGCTGTATATGTGCATAATAAAACAACTCTTTCTGTGGAAGGTATGCGGAGCGCAGAGATAGAAGTCATTTGATCAGCCTATGAGGTTTTGTGTGTGTGTGAATTAGGAGGCATGTGACCAGCGCGAAGGAAATGCCAGTCAAGCTTGTTACACGCTGTCATTTTCCACAGGCTCTGCCGCTGCGCTTTGGACGTTTTGCCATGAATAGTCAATAGCTCCCAGTTTTGTGCAGGGAAGGGGAAGCTTGTTATTGCTACTGCTGAGCATCCTTGCTGCCTGAGCTCCAGAATTTGCCCGTCTTTGCCTTCTCTGGAGAAAAATCAAAAGCCATCTATGTGCTTAGCACCTAACGCGGCGCGAGATGCTTCACACAACACCCTTAAAGAGCTCCATCCCACTGGCAGCACCTATTAATATTTCACAGGAAACAAGGAAAAAAACACCACACACTTCTATATTTCTTAAAGACACAGCTTCCTCCCTTATATGCACAAGTGGACGCAGAGACAGGTTGATAGAAAGAGACTTAAAAGTAAGACAGCATTTTCCTGGTTTGCACAGCCCGTCAGCCAGCTACACCTCTGACCCGATAACAAAATACTCACATGTGCTGAACACGAGGAAGTTCAAACAGAGGTTAGTGGCTCTGCTTTGCGACCTCAGACTATAATAATCTCTTATAGTAAAAGTGAAGAGCCAGGAGAGCCGTGTTTAAGACACATGACGTCTCTTTTTGTAAAAAAAAACTCTGCTGGAGGAACTTTCCCTCGAGGCAAAAGTCACAGAGCTGAGCGATGTGAAACAGAAAACCCAGTCTGTTTCTGAGAAGTTTTTGTTGCTCCCAGTAAGAATTCACCCCGGCAGCTCACTTTGTGCCTGCACCAGAAAGGGGTGACTGCCTTGTGACACGGGAGGCAGAGAGGAGCTCTTGCCCTCAGCTGCTTTCCGATCCTTCCTCGTACGTCTGCATTGCTCCAGCCTCAACTGCTGAAGAACAGTGCTGTGAGTGAAATCTGGACCACGACGTGTTTTTTCTAAGAAAAGCTGGCGTGCTCTGCATGCGCGGGGAATGAGCGTGCACTCAGAGCAGCTGGCAAGCTTTTCCAAAAAAAAAAAAAGGCAAAAAAAAAAAAAAGCTCAAGTTTTCTTTAAATGCCTGCAAGAACTGGGAAGCCACATATCAAAATATCCATGGATTTCACAGGGAATAAAACTAAATCTTATTTTGAATGGAGACTGAAAAGAGAGTGGGGAAAAAAACAACCGAGCCCTAGCAGCTGCTGTGAGCAACATACCTCAGCAGAACCCAGGCAGCACGCTCATTTCCCCATCGCTTTTGACAAGGAGCAATGTCACTTGGTGTAACCAGAGTCGTCTCGAGAAGACAGGGGACTGTCAGAGGCAAACAGATCCAGGCACATCGCGGGCCAGAGCTGCTTTCTGCACGCTCGCAAAACTTGCACAGCAGCCAAGAAGATTTTGGGGAATGCCTGGAATGTGGGATCGGGCCCAGGCTCTATTTTATCCTAAAGGCCAGACTAACAACTAAAAGGCTTTCATCCCTACTTTGTCTAAAGCCAAAACCAGAAGCTTAAAAAACAAAAATAAAATAAAATAAAAAAAGCCAGGGCTACGCGAGCTATGAAAACTAATGATGCTGTTTACATAAAGCACTTTCATCCCTGGGAGGGATGAAAACATGTCAGAAATGTAAGCACCTATACAGGGAGCTGAGTGCCCGAGCCACTGGAAAACAGCCGCTTCTGGAGTGAAATAGAGCAGCTGTTCAACAGCGCACGGCAACGCGGCGGGCTCCAACTTTTAAGAGTTCCCTAGGTTGTTATGATGTCCCTTCTGCCAGAAACATGTTGTTCTGCTTAAAATCTGTCCGTCTAATCACCAGCTTAAAGGAATACAGAGAGAGAAGGCATATTCTGTCTCAGAATAACCTTAAAATGTTAAGTCCCAGGAACTTGCTGCAACATGGGGACCCATTTCCCAGCACAGATAACACAGCAGTACCTGGGTTTAGATACACCGACAGTCATTTCCCATGTATGTTGCTACAGCTCTTTCTAGTTTAGGACTAATCTGTTTACTGTTTTCCCTTGTTCCCTGGAAGATTTAATATCTGTTCAGGCTGACTCGTGCTCCACAGACAGAGCCATAAACTGGGCAGTGAATCAGGGCCAGCTTTTCTAAGAAATCAAATGGAAATGCACGGGGAGGTAATAAAACAATAATTAAAAAAAAAAAAAAAAAAAAAAAAAAGGAGCCAAGAGCCAGGGAGTCCATTTACTCTCAGCCCTGCTGCAAGGTGGCTGCACTGCTTATCGGACACTAGGGGTAGGGGGCTACATTTAGGGGCCTCCCTGGCTTTTTTCAACGCCACTGCTTCTGGAATGCTGTAAAAACCTTCCTCAAAGCCCTGTTTTCACCCCGTTTTCTGCAAAGTGCCCACCTTTAGACCCAAACTTCGGCCTCACGAGCGGCACGCACCCCGGGTCGGCACCAAACTCCCCAAACACCGCACAGTGACAGCGGTCGGGGGGGGGACACAACCCTCATCCCGGCACTGCCAGATCTCCAATGCTGAGAAGTTGTTATTGTTTTCCCCTATTTTATTGATCCTTTTTCTATTTTTTTAGCAGGCTTTGGTAGCTCTCCCCCCCATCCCACCCGGCCGGGAGCAGCGCACCCCCCCGCCGCCCCTTGTGCACTGCCCAGCTCCAGCCCTGCTGCAGCCCCCCCGATGCCATATCCCACCCTCCCCCGGTGCAAACCCTCACCTGAACTCCTCCGCAAGCCGAGCCGGGGCAAAAATAACCCAGAAAAATGCAAAAGCAACGACGAAAAGGCAAAGGAGCGCGGTGCAAAAATATAGTAGAAAATGCAAAAAAAAAAAATAAAAAAATAAAAAAAACAAGGCCGAGACCCCCCCCCCCCCAGGGAGCGTAGTAGCCCCCAGCCCAGCCCACCCCCCGGTGACAGATCCGAGCCCCGAGCGGTGGGCGCAGCTCCCCCGGGAGGCGGCTGCGCGGGTGCGGAGCGCGGCGCGGGCCGCGTAGTGCTTTATCCCCGCGGGCCGGGCGGCCGGCGGCGGCGGGGGGGCCGGGGAGAGGCTCGCCCCGCTCCGCCGCCCCCATTGGCCCCGCGGCGCCGGGGGCCGGCCCCGGCCCGGCCTCGATGGGAGCCCGGCCCCCGCCGTGCCCGCTGGATGCTTGTGGGGGGGGTAGGAAGGGGGGTGCTGGGGATGGGGGGGTCCCCCGTCGTGCTACCATGTGGGGGGCTGTAGGCACGCGTGTAGGCTCGGCGGGGGGGGTATGTGCACGGATATGCACCTGTATGTGCGTTGTGTCCGTATGTATATGCAGGTTATGTATGGACTGATATGCACTGATCTATGCGCTGGTTACGTACATATAAGCAGTGTATATGTAGGTGGATGTGTACATATATATACGTTCGTTATACGTATATATATACTGCTTACATATATACACTTATGTATTTACATATATACACTACATATATACATGGATATATACACAAGTTATGTATATACAGAAATATGTACACTTGTTATATATACACATACATATACACTTATTGCGTAACTACATACATGCACACTGGTTACATATATCATAGAATCAGAATATCCTGAGTTGGAGGGGACCAACAAGGATCATCAAGTCCAATTCCTGAGTCCACACAGGACCACCCAAAAATCAGACCATATGTCTGAGAGCGTATATAGATGTATGTATACACTGTTTACATATATATGTATATATACACTCATTAAATATCTATATACACACACTAGTTACATATATACATGGATATATACATTTGCTATATATATACATACATATATATACCAGTTATATATATATATATATATATATACACATATACACACACACACACTGGTTAAATACACTAGTATGTATGTATGCATATATGTATATACAAACTAGTGTGTATATGGATATATATACAAGTACATATACATTAATTATATATACACAAATTATACATGCATTTACAATTTAAGTATAATTTATACATAAATCTATACATTTATACATAAATTTGTAATTTATACATAAATTTACAAGTTTTATATGTGCAAATATTCATGCAATATCATGGGGGGATCAGGATCCACATTTACCACCCGCAGTGGTGAAGCCCTTCGAGGAAGCTACAGTTCAGACGCACAGGGCTGCCAGCTCCCACAGCATTGGGTTTCCCTACTACATCAGAGATATTTCAAGTCACTTTTTTTTTATTTTTCTGATCCCTGGGAAGGCGCAGGCTGGGCTGGCCCGGCACAGCCAAGTGAGATAAGTCTGGGCACCTCTCTGAGGTCTGCACTCTGATGCTGCAGGACTGTGGGCCTCAGGGCTGCAAATTGCTGTCCTGAAGGAAAAATGAAGCATTAACGTCATTTTATGAATTTATGGGCAAACTGAGGCATGGACGGTTGAACCAAATGTCTGTGGTAGAACCAAGACACAGCCTATTCTTTTTTCAACTCCAGCCCAGTGCCTTGAAGAGGAAAACTCTCCTCAGTCTTCATTGCTTCAGAATTGCTAGCAGCAGATTTCACACTTTGGCAAACACTAAACAGCCTCTTCCAAAAGGACTTCCAGGCAAGACAAGCCCCAACAGATGTAGCTGAAGGACCTGGGGGTGCCCAGGCAGTACCCAGTGCCTAAGGATCTGAGGGGATGCAATGGCCAAGCTGGGCTGGGCAAAACCCTGAGGGGTTGCAGGAATGGTCTCAACAAAGTGGAAAGGCTTTTCTCTTTTCAGCCAGTTTTATTCTACTAAGTTTGCTTTAGCAGAGATTAGTGAGGTTTTCACCTTCCCTCGGTTTAGCCAGAGGAATTAGAGATGCAATTTCCACTTTCTCCAGATGCTCAGTGCCCTTGCAACCATCCCACGTGCACAGTGCTGACTTTCAGCTTGCAGCATGGAGCAGCGCGCACACGATCGCTGTGTCCTGCTCTCATGCAGGGACCTCGCTTTTCCGTTCCTGTATCTCAATGAATAATACATAAGTGCACATTCATCAGATTCCTACATACTATATTTATATACAAACACCAGGGCCAAATTCTGCATTAGTGTAACTTCACTGATGTAAGAAGCATTGCATTGGTAAAAACACTGGCCTTGAATATTTGTACCCCAAATAGATCATTAGCAAGTCTTGTTTCACTGTTTTCTACCCCTTTGTTCCCTGAGTAGGTGAAGTTTAGCTTGATGCAATGCAAAGGATTTGATTTAGATATAGCTAAAATCCCAAACCCTCAAGGCTGGATTTATTGCAATCTCAATTGCTGGTTTGTGCAGCTACAGAACTACCTCAGAATGTTTAATGCCATGAACACAACCCAGATTTATAGTCTTAATGTTATCATTGTGACCTAGAAATGCATTGGGACACATTAGTGTTTGCTCTGAATTTTGGACAACTTCTTTAGATTTAAGTTACAGTAATTTCCAACTTTTTCTTGGTCACAGAAGGGGTAGGGAAATCCCATGTTTACTCACATGGAAACGAACCAGTCCCAGTTCTGCTTTCAAGCTGCTTCCACTTCACCAGCTCAAAACCTTTCTGTTTCCCTGTCAGTATCCTGCAGGGCTGGGTGCATTCAGCTCTTACTGAAGCAAATACAGAGGCTGGTGTTTCCAGAGGGCTCCAGCAGAACCAGATGTGCACCGCCGCTGCCCCTTGTGCTGGTGCTAGCCCTGTGAGGCTGCACACAGAGAGGAGGGATCCGTGTCTTTTTCCCACCTGCTATGGACCAGTCGCTTCGAGAGGCAGGTGGCAATTTGGTAAACCAGGTAACGAGCTTGTGAGTCTGAGCCCAAGGACACCCACGGGATGAACAAACACAGCTTCAGTTCATCATCACTCAGGGAGGAGTAACTTCAACTACATTGCAGAACCCTACAGAGCTTCCTACCCATTCAGTACAAGGCAAGAGCAATCCTTGGGAGTTCAAATGCAATGGTAATAAACAAGCAAGTGTAACTAGGGCCTCTATATTTCTCCTGGAGATTTCCCTGGGAAAAAAAAAATAAAAAATTAAAATGCATGCAGGCAACACATACTGCCAGAGGAGATGAGTCCAGGGCATCCAGGATGAACCCCTGACATGAGCTCACTCACCCACTGTGTGACAGGTTCTGGATGCACCAAAAGCCTCGCACATGTCCTGATGCCCTCAGCCATGCATGTGGGATCAGCTGTGCTGGGAAACTTCAGGAAAGTTCTTGTACATTTGTGCAGAGGCTGTGCCTTGGGGACTTCTGGAGGTCCAGCAGTTTTGTAGAAATTGCTGCTCTGTCCAGGCTATTGGACATCAGGACACCCTGGACAAATAGCCAAAGTCCATTTTTTTCTGACCAGACAAAAATTCTAGACAGACAAAGGACATGCTAAAAACAAATAAACAGGATACATGAAAGCACAAGTTCTGATATTTAATTTCAGTACAAACAATTTCATTCCTGTGCTAACCCACTACCGTGTAACAGAATAATGGCAAAGCATGCAAAAGCTGGTGTCACGTGGAGCCCAGATCTGGGGTCATCCTTGGTGAAAGATGCCCACAGCCTCATCCTCTACAGCATCTTTTCTGAGCAGAGATTTTACCTCAGAAGTTTTTTTTCCTCCTCGCACAGAGCCTGTTGTGAGGCCTCACATCACACTCCTGGTTCTGGGGTCCATAGAAGTGCTTTTGGGCTTAAAACCAAAATTGAGATTTAGAAGCTGCAGTGGCAGCGCCAGCCTCTTCTCCATCCATCCAGGATAACTGAACGAACCTCTCAAGCTGCGAACTGATTTACTGATCAATTCCTTGGAGCCCCATGACAGTGAAAGCAAATTGGCACACATCTCAGCTTTGCTCAAGGTTTTGGAGGCACTCTGAGCTTTTGCATAACAGCAGGAGAAATGCACATATTGAGACTTATCCTCTGATCACTTCTGGCTGCCAACTTTTCACAAGAACCAGCAATGACTGTTGGGCTGGGCAGGCTTTTGGGGATGATCTTTTGTGCCGTTGTCACCGATGTCTCACGTCAGCTTTCTTCTGTTCGGTGGCTTTATTTGGTACTGCAGCAAAACTGAGACCATGCTCACTGACCTTTTCCCCTGCCCCATGCTTTTTGTGCATTGCTAGGTGACTTCCTTCCCTGTCCAGCTGGTCACCAAGTTCTTTAAAAAACAGTTGTCACCTCTATGGCTTGATCCAGCCTGGGGAATTTCCATTATCTCTTTTGCCACCTTTCAGGAGAGAACTTCAGTCAAACTGGTTCCCCTGCTCAGACAGCCTCTGTGGCATTCCTACTGCCCCGCCAAACACCGGGGCTAAAGCGAAGTTAAGGCACTTTCCATTGTCCTTTGTCTGATGGCTGTGTGCTAAAGATCCAGTCAGGAAAGGCAAATAAAGCTCAGCATTCAAGGCTTTTAAAACTTTCCTGGGGATAATAATAGCACTGCACTGTAAAGACAAAAAAAAAAAAAAAAATCGGGCTGAAGTTGTTCCCAAGTTGCTGTGCCACGTAGCACAGCACCAGGAAAGGTGGGAGAGGGAGCAAAAGGCTGCTCTGTGCTCAGCAGTTTGCACCTCAGGCTTGTTTGACCCTGCCCACACTTTGCCTTTCCACATGTGGCTGTACCAAAACTGATTTTTTTTTTTCCTGCCTCAGGTTTTCCCATCTTCTGTAAGTTTTTTTGTAGTTTTGCGTTACAAATGGCTTCTCGCTTTGGAGGGGACTGGAAGGGAAAGTGTTTGAGCTTCACGGATGGGCAAAAAGAGGGTTTGGGCTGCACAGGGTAAGTGCTTTGCTGCCTTAGAGGTCACCTGTGGTATTTCTGCCCCAGCCCCTGCTATTCCCGTTACTGCAGCAGCAAGCTGTCAGCAGTCTGGAGAGCCAACCGGCCGCTTGGCAGAAGGGTTAGCAAGGCGGAATTGATTACTTGCACATTTCCATGTGATTTACAAATCACGGCCGCTCTTTCCCAATGAGAAAAGCAAAAACAATCAGGTGAAGAAAAATTAAAAGAGTTCAGCTTCTATTTGGAGATTTTCCTGAACCAGCCACACGCAGACAGATCCCGTTCCTCTGCCACAAAGCCAGTGGCAGTGTCCGACTGAGCCTTGCTGGGCTGCAGCTCTCAGCCCCGGAGCAGTAACAGCCCAGGGCGAGTGCCCAAGCCTGTCAAACTCTCCAGTAACGTTACAATCGCTTTAACTCGGCAGTCCTTGACACTCACAGATAAGGACTGCAAGTTCTTTCGGTACTACAGAAATATTGACACAAAGAATATGTTTATCCCTGACTGTGGTTCTGCAGGACAAGGTGGAAACGGCAACAGCAATCTCAGGGCTTCATTTCTTTGGCCTTGCAAGGGCATCTGTGCTGCAGAGCCAACAGTTTATTGATTCTTTCATATAAGTTTTTTTCTTTCCTTAACTAGTTTGGAAATTACGTGGTCTTTTCAAGTCAGAGTTATAGGCCTAGGCAGGGATAAGATGGAAGAAACTCATTTTAGGATTTTTGTATGTTAATGCCCTTTGGAATATTAAAAACTGTGGAGAGCTGGCGAGCGTTTTTGATTTTCTCCCAAACTTTCTGTTCATTAAGATACTGAGAAAGAAAATATCAGCTGACTTTCTGGCTGCTATTTTTCCAAACCATCTTTAACCAGGTCCCGTTCCAAACCTGGCTTTCGATGCAGACCTCCTGGGTTTTAATCTGTGGTCAAACACACTCAAGAGCAGAGCTGCACTATTCCGAACGGCCAAGGGAATCAGGCCATCTCCTGCAGGAATATGGGTGTGCTAAGTGAGTGACAGACACGCTGTCCCATCACTGCCTCCCCTGATGTGATGATATGAAGCAGAAGAGCTGGGCCTCAGCTGTTTAAGCCTTGGTCCCACAGCTGCGCAGGAGCTGATGCCTCCAATGTGACAGATGAGGCTCATTCCTAGAGGTTCAAGAGCAAGGCGAGCAGCACAGCCCAAGCTGTCCCTCGTGAAGATGACTCAGGAACAGGCAGGTCTGCAAATGTGACAAAATCCACTGACTCACTTCAAGATTCAGCACTTACCTCTCTACTGCATTTAGGAAAGCAAAATAGACTAGAAGACATACAGGAAGATCTGGGGCATTACTAAACCTGGCTCCTGTTCAGGAGTGGATCTGCAATAAACTGTATTCCCCTGCCCTCTCCTGGAAGGAATACGCCAGAGCTGGGTGTGTTTGTGCAGGAGCCTGGTGCTGAGGACTCCAGGGAAGTGGCTCAAGGTGGTAAGAGAAGATGGTCCTTCTGAAGACAACATTTACAAAATTGAACAACTACGACTGTGCTGTAACCATCGTGTGTTGCCAGTATCGAGTCTGCCAGAAACTGGCACATCGCAACAGAATTTGAAGGTTTTCAAGGAAGAGCTACCTTGCCTGTCTGTCCGTTTACATTGAGTTGGGAAACAGAGAGGATGACCCAACCAGTGGAATCCAGAGCCTCTTGCTCACCTTAAATAGTAAACACAGAGTCCACACAAAAACACTGGTAACCTTCGCTCAGGTCACGGAGCAACAACAGGTCAGAAATGCAACACTGCAACACCAACAGGCATGTGCCTGGGGGCACCAGTGCTGGACAGGCAAGTGGGAGCCCATCATTTGGCCAGAGATTTAGTGAGAGCACAGCAGGGAGGTTCAGTCAGTCTCTTTGGAGGTTAGAGAGATGAGACAAAGCCAAAGTCCACAAAACTGGGGAGATCTAAGGCTGGGGGTCTGGACCCTTTGACTGTGATGTTACTCCAGACACTCAGCTCAGTGTGTGTGGCCCATTTACATAGGATCAATGTTGAATGAATAAGATGCTTTTGTGAAGTTTCATTCTTCTCCAGCACCACCTGACTGTGAGCCACCAGAATTACAGCCATCTTCTTCCAAACTGCCAAACATCCAAAGCAATACTGGTCCTGCTTTAGAAAGAGAACTGATTAGTGAATTGCTGCTGTTAAGATCAGAATGGGAGCAATGAATCCCAAAAGCTGAGTGTGGACACTCTACAGGTAAGTCTACAGTTCAATAGTTACCACAAGTGCACTGTATAACCCAAAACATCTCACATGCTTTCTTTGCCATTGTATTTCAGCTCCTCTAACATGCAGTAGAGCTGAATTACCTCCTTGCTGCTGAGGTGCTGCTCAGCACAAAGGCAAATGGGACCATGCCTTGCAGACAGACCATTAGCAAATACTCCTACGGAGAGGGGGACATTAGCTTTTAAATTCTGGGATATTGCCCCAATCTTCACACTGGGGGAGACACTGAAGACCGCAATAAATACCACATAGTATCTCAACAAGCTCCACAGGTGGTTTCTGTCCCTGCTCCAAGCACAAGGCCCATTTGCTGGGTTTGCAGCATGTTCAGCACATTTCTTTATCCTCCCCTTCACCCTCTTATCAAAGATATGAACTTCAATAAAGCAGTTCCAGCTGCCCCAAGAAGTGAGAAGACTCCTATTTCCTGCTTCAGCACAGGGGTTAAGAACAACGTTTCTGTTCATCACAGAAATAAACATTAAATGAATGTTGAGTTATATCCCTCCTGTGACTAATGTTCTAGCTTGTTTTCTAAAGTTAATTCTTCATACACTTTTTTTCCCTCTTGTTCTGCCTTACATTTGTCCAGACTCCCGTGTTCCTGGGGGAATAATTACCCACTCAGCAGTTACTCTGAAGTCCAATTGTAATAGCTGGCAAAACTCCATTCTTCCATGCAAGCTTTCAAAATAATACTTCAACTTATTTCAAATAGCACCACTCTCTGGAGCTTCTTCCCAATTTGTTTTGCCCTGGACTGAGATTTATTTCACTGCTGTTGAGAGCTGACTGCTTTGCTTGTCACAGGGCAGATATTCTCAACAGAATAATTAACAACAAACAAATAAACAAGCCAGAGGGACTGCTCATTTAAAAATGATCCATTGTGATGTAATGTTCTATTTCTTCATCTACTGAATCCTTAGTAGCAATGTAAGCAATGAAGAAAACACAGATGCAGACCTGGATTATACGTCCCCAAAATACAGACATGATCATAGGAAGTGTTTTCATTCACACCAGCCCTGGACTTGTCAGAAAGTTTGGGGAAGTTTTAGTCATGCATCCTGTGATCTAAAAACGCACATTTTCTTATGCTGTAGGTGTTCCTGGGCAAAATATTCACCTCTACTAGCATCACAAGAAATAACTAAGGGCTGAAATCAGATCATTGGCATATATTTTTTCCCATAAACACTGCTTTGGAGGAAAGCATGTCCTTTCCCAACTCTGCTCCTATTTAATTAATGTCTATATAGCCAGAAGCAACTCACCTCATCTCCTTGTTCCTCGCTTTTTCCAATGGTTCCCTGAGGATAACAGTCTTGACACTGAACAAACTGATGTTCATAAAAAGCATTTTAACTGTCTGGTGCAGAATATGTAGCAAAAAGATGATGACAAAGCCTTTTCTTCAGGACACCTGAGTTGTGCCAATGTCACAGGGAATGTGGCAGCTCCTGCAGGAAGATCCTGCCATCACTGCATGGGAGAGAGCAACACATCTTATTTAACCATTTCACTCTTCTATAACCTCTGCTTATTGACATGATAATTCAGTGTTTCCTTTAAAAAAATATATAGAAAAATAAAAAAGGTTCTAAACCATTTCACATCACCCAATAGTTGACAAAGTGGATGTGGGATCTACGTGTTGCAGAGACACAGAGCAGCACCAGCCCTTGGCATTAAGGCTGCTTTCCCACAGTGTTGGGGAGCATTTAGGTCTATTTTTGTTTGTTTGCTTTTGCTTAAGTCTGTATTTAATCATGAGCATCCCACAAACTAATGCATGCAGTAGGGCTTCTCTGGATAGCACTATGGTTCCTGTCAATAAACAAGTATCAACTCCATTATTACAGTCAAGCATTGGTCATGCTAACTTGCCAGGTTTAGCTAAAGTTCACCACTGTAATTCCCTTTTGCAATGGAATTCCTGTCTAAATATCACAGCCCCTAAGGTAAATATCGGCTAGCTGCTGCCCTGCAAAGTATCGCAACCTCACTAGGGTGACCAGTAAAGAAAATTAATTTTGCTTTTACCCCCAGAAATAAAATAGCTGTCACTGATGAGAGAACACAGAAAGCATGTTGGTTCTGGGATGTCAAGTTTTCCACTTTTAGCATGCAAAGTCAATTATAATCACAATTATAAGTTATTTGCTGATGGGACCCACAGCAACACCAGTACTAACCAGGAATTTCACTGGTTGGTGCTGCAAGGGATAAAGAAATCAACTGCAAACTCTGGATCTTTATTAAAATTGATTCAGTAATTAAATATTTACCTTCAAGACTTATCTCAGTCCTGTTTCCAGATCAAAATTATGATTTTTTTAAGGATACTTCCAAAATCTAAACTTGGGAGCGGATCTTAGTCTGTAAGCAGCTTTGAAGAAGAATTGAAGAATGTGGGCATTCATATAAAAATTGAAACCGTCAGTCGCTTTTTCTTTCCTTCTGACCTATGTGCAGAGCTGTCAAGATGGACCCTAGCCTGGGCCAGCACTCAGCTGACTAGCCGAAAGATTTAGAAGCATCATTTCTCCAGTTTGGGGCTGGAATCAGTCTGGGCTGGTGAGGTGCAGGCAATGCTTGTGATGATGCCAGGAAGTCCCAGCAAATCCACTCCTGCTCAATGCCATTTCACAGCTCTCCTGCCCTGCCTCTGGGGAGTGCAAGAGGCCTGGGTGCCTCAAGGTGAAGGGATGGAAGCATGGGCTGCCCTGAGGATGTGAGGCTCTCCTCCTTCCCTGCAGCAGCAGGAAACCTCCCTGCTGCATTCAGGTGTAGCCGGTGTATCCACCACCCTTATATTCCACCATGGTGGGTTAGATGCAAGCTGAGGCTGCTGTTTTATCCGTCACTATTGCCTTCAGCAGACCTCAGCAGCAAGTATTCACAATGGCTGCTTGTAGATAATGTACTCTTGTTCTCTTAATCAGAGCCACGGGGATGAGCACCAAGCCAAGGCCAGTGATTTACTGGCACTCTCTGTGGTGCTGGCTGCTGCAGCTCCATGACAAAAGGCATTCTCTTGTGCCAGCCCGAGCCCCAACCTCAAGAAAGGCTGCAAACTTGCTGGAGTTTTATCCTAGCCACTGCCCTGCTCACAGGCCAAAACACGAGGATCCTCCTTTTAAAAGCGACTACCATTTGCTTCCAGTCAGAGGTTTCCGGAGCTGCAGGGCCACCCATGTTCCCTGTCGGTAACCTATTAACTGCGGGTCGAAGCAGCAGCAGCTGCACAACCTCCAGCGCGCCTGCAGCTGCTGCAGCAGCAGCGTGCCAGGACGAGGTACAGTATTGCAGCCCTTGACGTCACTCCAGCAGGATCAGGCTCAGACGTCTGCCCGGATGGGAGATTGCACACAGCCCCCCCGAGAACAGATGCGTTGTGCAACACCAGGACAGACTTCGCTGAGGAACCGGGCATAACTCTGCCTCACAGAGCATCAGCTCAGTACTGCCAGGATCAGGCCTCCAGCACGCAGAAGTAAATGAAATTGGTGCAAGTCTGCTCAGAAAACTCTATAATAATTTGTCTTCAAGCAAAAACATTTTAAAAGAGGACACATTCACATGCAGCAGCAAAAATGATAGACAAAAGAGCTGTTTCCTCCTCAAGCCAGAAAGTTTGCATGGGGCAGAAGGAGAGGGTTTGACTTGCTGTTTGGAGTTAGGACAGTGCAGTTGGGCTTGGGCAAGAGAAATAAAGGTTACAAGAATCTCAGGGATCAATCACTTTGGATAAGCACATGGAGACATTTAGGTCTTTTCTGGAATCAGAGAATCAAGGAAAGTTCACGAAGAAGCCAAAAGGGGATGATGTTTTGAGGAAAGGGAAAGAAATCAGAGCCCATGGTGCAATAGGCACCAAAGGAGCTGGACACAGACAGGAGCAAAGCAAGCCCTGAGGGCTCCCAGGCAGCTCCGTTTGCTGCTTGGAGCAAATGGTTCACTGCTGGACTCAGGCATGGGCTGTCACCTCCAAGGAGAATGCTGAGGGCTGGCGTTTATGCTAAGCCAAGAGAAAATGAGCAATGGGGAGGGAGCAATGGGCTCAAGGAGGGACCAGAGAACTGTAGTGGCAGCCTGCCGGGGCAGCTGATGGACACATCCAGGCGTCCTGGGTAGGGCCCAGCAGCGGTGATGCTTTTCTGGAAACAGGGACCAAAAGGTGTCCCAGCCATCAGAGCCCAGTGGGTGAGACAAACCCTCATAAAAATACAAGCCAGCAGAAAAGCTTCAGCAACCCAGAAGAAGAGGTACAGAAAGGAATTAAAATGCTGAAAAGTCACCTTGAGCAGAGGCTCCTGAGCCACACTAGAAGGCAGCTGCCACATGGGACAGGGCCAGCCCAAGAACTTGGAACTTCTCAACCCTCTTTGGAGCCCACTGAGACCCAGACAGGAGACGAAAAGTTTTCTCAGCTCAATTATTGCAGCCTCCTCCTCCTTCATCCCCAGCTTTGAGGAGAAAACATGCCAGAAGCCTTCTTTGGCTGACTTCAAGGCCACGTGCCTGCAGACGAGCCACGTGGGCTGCTTCACGGGGCCATTGTGAGCAGCTGTGTGTTGGTGGAGCTGCAGGATTTACCCTCTGAAAATAGACCAATACATGACCCAGGAGGAGCATAGCACAAAGTCACAGGTCTAACAAAGTGCACAGGAATGGAAGGTAAATGAGGCAAACTGATAGTGCTCACTGGGCTGATCCCGAAATGATGCTATACATTAAAACTTAGAACAACTCACAAGACCTTCAGTCAGGAGCTGGGCTCTGTTCCTCCTGCTGTAACAAAACCTAGATATATTGCAGTGGTGGAACTGCTTGCTTCACTCCTTAGCAGTGCCAAAGACAGAAGATGATTTACAAGACACTAGGAACAGCATCAAGAAAACAAACAAGAGACTTCAACTAGTCCTTGAGAATGGTTTAGCCATAACTCAGGCTCAGAAAGCACTGAAAAGCCTACAGGAAACTAAAGAGTAGGATAAGGGAAATCTAAGCACTCTTATTTACAAGACCTTTTCCCACAGCTGCCACCAATCTCAACAGCTTTAACGAGCTCCATTAAAATTTATTTGGGAAGCTTACAAAGGGGGCACTGGCCAGAGGGGCTGGATCTGAAGGACCGGCACCAGATGGGTTTGCTGCAGGGTACAGCTTGGGGGTAACTGGGCTCAGGGAAGGTTGCTCTGTGTAGTCCACACGCAGGGCAGGCCACTGGAGAGGGTGCAGCACGGTGAGGGTTTGCAGGCTCCTTTCCATGCCTGGGTGGTGTCCTGCTGTGATACTAAACTTTGAATGGGAGCTGCTGTATCAAGAAATTTCACAGTAAGACAGGGGCTGCCAGTCTGAGCCTGAACCAAAGCGGTTCCAAAGATTTACTTTGGACATGCTATTGCTGACGGGGGAAAAGTGATGGGTAGGCAGTGAGCTCACCGAGCTGCACCGGCTGCTCCTCCGCCACCAGGCTGACCGGTGCCAGCATTGCACAACCCCTGGGGAGACAGGGTGAGAAGGGAAATTGTTGCAGTGGGCACCTGAATGCAATCGAGCCTCTTCAGCAGTAGAAATGGCTCTCGTTCCTGTGCCCTGACTCAGCCTCCCAATGTTGCAAAATCCCTGTTCGTATCATATGCAGGTGGTGGGGTTTCCAATTTAGAAGCTGCGTTGGAACAAGAACAGAAGAGGCACTCAGGGGTGAGTGCTTAACCTGGCACAAGCCTGTATTCAGCAGAGCGAGATTGCTGCCGTACCCAAAAGAAGCTCCCATCAGAGGCATTGAGCACCGCTTCCCCCATTATCCCCAGGGAAAAGTCCTGGGTCAGGATCCGTCTTATGTCTCAGGGATGCATGTTTAGAGATAGCAGCCACTAAAAGCAACTCTAAGGATCATAAAACCTGCAGTGGTGCAGGCCCCAACCCAAAGGCAATGACACTGGTGCTTGCTCCAGACAGTCCAACTGCACGCACCACTCTCAGGGCAGCTCCATGCGAGGTGTCTCAGTGAGGTGGGGATGGGCTGCAGGGATGCCAGCTGCAGAATCCACATTAGGAGTTCGTCTACTTTTGGGAGAAAATGGGCACAGTCTGAACCTGAAACCAGCTGAGAGGGAAAACAGGATAGATGGCAGGCCGCCACCTAGATGGCAAAGAAGCAGGGTGGACCCTGATAAGGGGAGATGCTGGTGCTATGTGGGAGGTGAATATAAGGAGACAAATATCAATTAACTTTATCTCTTTGCCTCAATAATCAGATATCGGCACATGAGCCAGTCACCCATGGCTCTCGGTAGTCAACAAGACGCCTCCAGAAGGAGGATGGGCACTGAGAGCTCAATGCAAGGAGTCAGATGGAGCCACTTACCTCAGCCACCGGCCCCAGGAGATGCCTGTCTGCAGCTGAGCTGCGGGGAAAGGAGGTGTCATTCAGTAATGACAGCATTAACACCTAGGAAGAGAAAGCAGCCAAAAAGCAGAGTTACATTAGGATTAGTATTGGCAGCATTGCTATGAAAGAATGCCCAGAGGAGGGAGAGGGTTTTTGAGCCCTGGCTGCAAAGGGGCCAAGGACTGGCAGCATTTTGAGCATGACCAGCTCGGTGTTGCAGGGCAGGGACCTTTGCCCCATCTCAGTAAAGACAGAGGGTCGCCGCTCAGTGGCACCCGTCCCCTTTGCTGAGGGCTCTGGGGAGCTTATCCCACCCACAAGCGGTGATGGGATAAGCGAGCTGCAAGGCGTCTTCGGGCGAGATGCCTCTGCTCTAACGGCACATGCAGGCAGATGCCGCTGTGCAAAGTGAACTTTATTCCATTTGCAAAATGACACAAGCTCCACACGCTGCCACTCGGCTGGCTGCCGGCTGTGGCTGTTGGGTCAAGCTTTGTCGGAGGGATCTGACTCACTTCTTGCATCAGACTTGCAAGAAAATGAGTCAGGGATAATCTCTAATATCCCAATCAGCCTCCCTACATCTCCTGCCTACGTTCAGCTCTATTTAGGGGGCTCTTGGGGAGCTGAATTCGAGGCTCATTCAGTACAAATGCCAGTGGGAAATGAAAGTTATCACTCAAGGAGGTCGCCAAAAGAAAAGGAGACTAAGAGAGATGTACCAAGGAAGCATGGAGGAGTTTGCACAGGGTTGTTGCTGCTCCTAGTTCCCTGGAAGGCAGAGGACTGCATGGCATTTAGATGGGAGCACTGGTGCTCAGGAAAGCATTGCAGGACAAATCTCTGCTGGGATTGCCAGACCTATGACAGATTCAGTGAGTCCAGCAAGGAAACAGGATCTGTCCCTGATGGAGGAGGAGGAAACTGGGAGCGTGAGAATGAAGGGAATAGCAGGAGCCTGGGGGCAAGCTGTGTGCGAAGCAGAGGGGAAGGACTGGGACTTGGAGTTGTACAGAGGGAGCCCCAGCCTGCACCCATGGAGCAGGGAGGGCAGGGAACAGTGAAAGAGCCTCATTACCCAAATGATGCCTTTCCCTCATCTCTTAGGGAGGAATCAGAGACTAGGACGAGATTGAGGAACTGCCAATCTGGAACAGAGTAGTGGTGCCTGCAGTCAAGTACCCAGCTTCCAGAAGAGGCAAATTTGGATGCTTTAGAGGAAAATCTTCGATAGCATCCCAGTTCCAGGAAGAGTGCAATACGTTGGGTGTTTACTCGTGTTGGGATAGCTGCAGAACCATAGCAGGGCAGACAGGCTATTTATAAGCGTATCAGATATCAGCTAAGCTCTTTGCACTTTCTATGGAGCATATATCAAGATTAACGAGAAGGAACATGGGCTGAGGGCAGCAAATGAGCAGAGGTTGGAGAAGAGGTGTCCTTTAATACAATGCAGATGGGAAAGAACAGCAGCTGGCCCTGTGCCCAGTGCTACTTCTAAGACCTCTCAAAGCTGAGGAAGATCACTTTATTACCAACACTGTGAGAAAGAAGGGTTGAAAATGCTGGGTTTGATGGCTTTGCATTATTAAATGGAGAATTGTTTGCTCCTAAATATATATACATATATATATATGCACACACACAAATCTATTCATAGATATTTCATTAAGCTCTTCTAAGTACATGCTGTGTGTAACAAAATAATAAGCCAGCTAAAGAGTTAACTCTCTATAGATCTCCAAACCTACTAGGAGGGAGCTAGAATACAGATTTAAGCAGACAGAAGATGATACTTGTTCCAATTAATGTTCCAGCTAGCATCTGCTCTTTTTAATTAGTTGAAGTCTGGTTTTGTCTGGAGACAGAATTGCTGAGCAGAAGCGTGCTGGCTTCTTTTCTGCTTAGTTGGCTATTCTGATCTCTCTTGGTCTTTGGAAACTTTTTCTACACTTCACAGAGGCTAAAAACTATTGTGCACTGATATTTGTGTGTGCCCACAGGCTCTCTATAAGTTTCACTGCAACCAGCTTCCATCTGGAGGGAAAACAGGCACAGGAAGAGTTTTTACAGGTGTCCTCCCCACCACACACACATTTGTGCATTGCTTCACTTATCTGAGACTCAGTTTTCTTCTGCAAGCAAGAATTCCTGTTGAGCAGATGCAGGTGGATGGAGAAGGGTTCCCTAGGACCTGTTAACCTTCCTGTTTTGCTCGAAGCTTGCTGATCCTTCACCTCACCCTTTGTAACATGACCTTTGAGGATCTGCATGTTTCAATTACGCACAGATGAATAATTTACAAGCCACGGCTGTTGGGATAAACAAGCCCTTCTGCTCTGTCCAAGCACTAGACAGCTTGTCTTAAATTTCCCTCACTTTGCTGAAACCTCCACGACTTCAGCAGCATTCAAAAACTTTTAAAGGAGAAGCTGGTGAGGGAAAAGCAGGATGGCATATCACAGCAGCAAACAGCACTCACAGCAAGTATTCCTCTTATCTCTGAGCAGGGCATTGACCTGTTGTACAAACTCCAGGTAGGAAAGCCACTGGCAAAGCAACCTCAGATATAATATTTACCTAAGAGGAGACATTTCAGTGGAAAACAAGCTACAGGATCTGCTGACACCCTGGTGGAGAGAACAGCGGGCATTCACGCAGGTGCAGTCAATGGAATAGGAACAGGATGTGGAAACTTTCTAGCATTTCCAAGTAACAAGGCTGTTGTTGCATGAGGGGCATGTTTGCGCTGTCTGTGATTGCAGCTGAACAGCTACGAGAAGCTGTGGATCTGGGGCTTGACCCGCCAGAGCCCCACCGTGCGGCATCAGAGGAGTCACTTGGTTTCTCTGCCCCACTACTCCATCCTTAAAGCAGGGAGGCAAACAGGCAGGTCCTGCAAGGAAACAGCCAGGCTGACACCACATGTTTAGGAACTGTTTTGATGGGTACCTGCTGACGCCTAGTCCTCTGGCAAGGGAAACAGATCCCATGAGCTGCCCTGGGGATATAAGCTGCAGTTTAGGGCCACAGATAACAACTCCTGTCAAAGCTTCTCTGGAGAAGACGGACAGGACCAAAACAGCTCAGGAGCAAAGTGAATAACTGGGTTGTTTTTTCTCTTTAATCCTTTCCACATGAGCAGAAAGGGTTTGGAGCCATAAAGCATGTGCTCTCTCTTGCAGCTCTCAGAAATCAGCCCTTTACTTTACAGATCCTTTTTGGTCAGATCTGTATGCCTCTACTGAAGGAAGGGAGCCTGCACCACCACCTGTTCTGCTAACAAAAAGCCACAGTTTCGCTATCTCCCTAAGCAGAGACTGGCACTGACAGGGCCAATCCCACCTTCCCCCCGCCTTTGATCACGGTGATCAAAATAAAAGGATTGTTTCCTCAGGCAGGGTATTTTTCAGCTGGACAGTCACAGCAGCTGTACTTTTGCCATGAAGCAAGGGCCAGGAAAACAGCTGGAACTGTGCCGTAAGAGCTTAATGTAAAATCATGAAGTTGCAACCTCAGGTTCCTGGGTCATTTGTCCCTGCAAATAGCAAGAATTTATAGCCCTTGTTATAGCCCTGGTTAGGAAAGTCTCCTTGGCTTCAGCTCCGTGGCTCTCTTTCCAATGGGCCAAGCACAAACTCCTAGGCCCCAGACGTACTTAGTTTTGAGGGAAATCTGGAACTACTTTTCAATTTGGGATTAGGTCTAAACAGGTATTCGGAACTGGCCTTGAAATCACAACTATGTCATGTATTTATCATCCTTACCAACAGAAGGCTGTGGAGCCACTCAGGGGCCCAAGCTCAGCCTCCCAGATCTCCTCCCCGCCACCTGGAGAGTCTGTGAAACATCCATTCTCCGAGGTTTTCAAAACAGCTGTGCAAAGCCTTCAGCAGCCTGATGTGACTTTGAAGTTGGCCTTGCTTGGAGCAAGAGGTTCGGCCTGAGACCTCCAGTGGTCTCTCCCAAGTGGTATTGTTCTGTGGTTCTGTCATCTTCAGCTGCATTTGCATCATGCTCTGCTAGGCCACTATCAGCAGACAGATCAGCAGGTGTCCCCACACTGACTAATCCAGGCCAGAAGTCAGAGAGCCTGAATCAACTGACGCTTCAGCGTTGGCTGCATTAGTTCAGGAGACAGAGCAAAGCCCAGAGCTTATCTGCATGCGGTTGTCTAAGAAGAGTACCGCTGACAGTCATTGCAAGGGAGGATCCTTGCCACCATGGCACATGCTAGAATAAGCTCTACATTGCAAAAGAAGCTGGCCCAGGTCTCACAAGGTCCTAAAATACAGACAGCAGGGTATTTTCTCCTCTTCTCAGCAGGAAAGAGTCCACAATCTCAGCAGAAAAAAGAGAGCGTGAAGTACAAATCATTGAGCACTTGCTACTTGCTGTCTAAGTCATTACACAAGTACCCTCACAGCAAAAGGATGGATAACAGGGGCTGTCCTGTCATTTCCACATGTCTCTTTATAGTATTTATCAGCTTTCAACCACCAGATTGAATCCAGAATAATTCTTGTTGCAAGAATATCACAAATTCATTTTGGATGAGGCAGCCCTGGAAGACACTGGATATGAGAGAATCAGTGGTAGGACTCAAAGACCTGAGTGAGTCCTGCTCCATCAGCTTGTTTGCAATGATGAGAGCTGAGCTCACAGGTCTTCTTGAAGAGCACCCTCTGGGGACACTTCTCAGTGTCACTTCTTCAGCAGCCAGAGGATGGGCCAGGTTTTTCTTGGTGCTCATCATGTCTGGAGACCTCACCTGTATGGTAAAAGTGGGAAATACAGATCACTGCGCCAAATCCCTGTCCATGGCAATACAAGGTTGCTGCCACCTCGTGGCTGGCTCTGACCATCCAAAGGTCACCGGGCATGTTGTTCCAGCTGGAAAATTTTACATTAAGATAAAAATCCCTCCTAGAAGTAAGCTTCAGCTGGGGGTAAACAGCATTGCCTGTAGATAGACCCCATGGAACCAGGGCACCTGGGTATCACAGCTTTGCTGTGCACATGAGGTCTTCTGCACTAGTTGCTTATCCCTGTTTGGGATGGCTCCACCCCAAGTCATAGTACCTCTTTTTCTATCAGGCCACCACTTCCTTGTGCCCCACAACCAAAGGAGACAAGGAAACATCCACAGTTTTGTCAAGAGGCCCTGGGTTTGCCATGCACATGCAGCAGTTGGTATGTGTAGCAGTTCAGCATGGCCATTACAACAGTCAGGTGCTGGGAAGGAAGAAAATCTGCAGAGAAGCAGAGACATGCTTTAGCCCTAATGCTTGATCAGATGGGATGGATATGGTCTCCCGTACTGTTTCTTTATGGCATCTTCCATTGAGCTGTGGTGCTGATGCAGGGATGTGTACTGTAAATAAAGCACAGAGGAGAACCACCTGGTCAGTGTTCCTCCCTGAGTCAGTGTCTATACAGAGCTCAGCAGTGTGTACAGACCTTGCAAGAAGGGTGTGAGCAGCTGTAATTTCCCCATCTCTTCTCTACAACCAACCTGAAGCTACTCCCCTCTAAGCAGGGAAAATGCGCAAGAACAGTCACCCTAAGAGACCCGCCAGCAGAAAAGCACCCAGAAGCTCTAAGACCACACTGAAGCAAAGTGCTGGTTTCATCACCTTCAGTGGAACTCTTACACTTTGTGCTGTGGACACTCACTTGTGCATCCCTCCTCCTACCCCGTGTGCTACCTTGGAAATAGGTTCTGTTTTCCTCTTCTTCCTCTTGGGATGTTCTGGGTTCTGCAGCCACACAATTCAGCAGGAAACAGAGGAACAAAAGCTCCAGAGAATGAAAAAGCTGCCAAACCATTTAGTATTCCTGTGCCATTTGCTGTTTACTAAGGCTTTTCCCCTTGTGTGGTACGTATTGTGTCTCACTTTGAAGAAACTGAAGTAGAATACTTAAATAAATGAGTTCCCCTTGAGAAGACTCCAGGCAATGGGGAGATGGCTGCTCAGTGACCTGTGCAGTATCCTGGGTACACAGGGAGTTTCCTGTAAAGATAAGACTACAAAGGAATATTTATTTATCTAGATACTTATTTAGCTTTCATCTCTGGCAGCATTTCTCAATCAGCCATTTCAAAATGTTTTGCCAACACTAATTAACCCTCACAGCACCTCTGTGCTAGTAGAGAAGACAAGCAACACCTTCAAGAAATAAATGAAAGGAGCAAAGAAATAACCATATCTTGCAATCCTAATCCCAGGTCCTAACAAAATCATCCCCTGAAAGCCCCCAAAACATCCTTCTGTTGGAAACACAAGAGGCAATCTGCAATTCTTATCATGTAGCCTGTCTTCCTCAGATCTGCACCAGGGAAGCACTGTCCAGACATTTAATAAGACCCAAAAATGCAGTGCCCTGAAGCTACATTGCACAACCCGGAAATCCCTAACGAGCTACAGCACCAGTCAGCTGCACAGCCTATGCCACCAAGCAGGCTTTCCCATGATGTGCACATGATATTTATTCCATTCATTAACTAAGTTAATGGTGGCCAAGAATAGACCCCAGATGTCCTTCTGGCCTTAAAAACTTCTTTGCCCTTAAGGAAACAAAGAGCCCAAGTGGCTTATGGCATGTGCAGGATACAAAGAAGGAACCAAAACTATGAAGAGCTTGTGCATTTCCAAGAATTCACAAAATACATCTCCGATTTTAAATAATTTCCCCAAACAGGAACAGAGATAAGCGTTTAGGAAGGATGGCACAGAATTGAGCAATGGTTATATAAATGCATCATTCATTGATGTAGAGATTACGCCAGACAGAGCTGTAGCTGTTCCAATGTCTTAGTCCTGTTATCTATTTCTGTGATGGCTACTGCTGTTACTACTACTGCAAATTTGAAGTTCTGTAATAAACTGGTATTTCTGAACAAAGGCCATTGGATCAGAAAAGTGCGTCTTAAATACATCTCATTCCTGAATTATTTTTTTGGTAATGGAAATTACTTTACAGTCTCATTTTTGATACATACTCCCAAGTACATTTGGAAATTTTCCCCAAATATACCAAAGATAGCACTTTTCTGCATCACTGCTAAAAATCAAAGTAATCATGTGCAGAATAAAGAGAAATTTCTTTCTTTATAAGCATTTTCCTTCTGTTGCCTGAATCCAATCTTTCGATAATCAGCAATCATGGAAAAGAACAATAACAATCAAATGAGAGTTTGCACTTACAGAAAATCATGCTATTTATTGCATGACTTATTCAGAGGGAGAAAGCTGTTTGGAAACCTATCTGTAAATGAAGGAAACTGCTATTTCCGAAAGCTGAAATTATATTAATAGAAAATCTAAAGAGTCTAGAGAAGAACATGGTCCATTTGGAATAGACTCAGTCTTTTCAGAAAAAGGAAAAAGCAAATATGGTATTTAAAGATCTTTTCCTTCTTAAAATATATTACTTTTTTCAACTGATAAAGTATCAAATCATCTTTCAAATTATGTGACTTTATGGAATGATTATTTGGGTTTCTATAGCATTATTGACTTGGGGAGAATCCAGTAAATGTCAGTTCATTCACCCACACCACGTCAGCCCTGAACTGAGACTGTTCACACCTTGTGAACAGAAAGACCAAAGCAGAGAAAAAAAAATGGTTCAAAGTCACATGGTGACTAAAAATTACAGTCACTTCCACAGTCCAGGGCTCCAACTCCCATCTCCTCAGCCCACTGCTTTGCTTGTTGAGACAAGGTTAAATGCCTGATTTCAGGCCAGGTGGATCAAAATAAAGAAACCCAGCAAGGGGGGAGCCTTTTACACCTGAGAAGTTTTCTCTCTTTACCATCCAGATGGCTGGTTTGTACTTAAGGGAGCTGCCTGCTTGGCAGACACATAGCATCACCTGTGTCGGGAAGCCTCCTGGGAAGACCCACCTGGCTCAGCCCTGTGCCATCAGGGCAGGGACGCTTGTCCCTGCTGCAGGGAACCCAGGCCAAGGCATCCCTTCCGTGCATGGGCTGGGTGCCACCTGACAGCAGGCGCAGGGGTTCCCATGGTAGCACAAACAGAAGGACAACAGCCGGAGCTGAGCCGAGCTGCACTGCGTCTGCTGCACCGCATCCACAGCCATCCGTGGAGAGGTCTCCTTTGGGTGAGAAGCCATAAAAATAAAGGGGTGAGGGCAACTGCAGCATTTTCTCTGCTTGTCAGCATCGGATATAACTGTGCTCAGACAAGCAAAGGTACTGGGGTGTTTCAGTGGGAAATCACACGCACTAACGGCCTCCTCCTCTGCGTGCCAGCTGGGAAATGGGACACATCTGTCCCTGCAATAGCTGCCCCACAGCTCAGAACTTGAAGCAATTTCCCAGTGAGCACGAGCCTTTTCTGTGAGTGATGTTATCATTTAAATTATTTGAGTATATAGCACATATGCTTATCACACACTCTGGGAACGTAGTGGATGGATTTTATTGTATTATTTTTAGAATTGTTTGCATGTTTACTTTGGCTTTGTTTTTTTTTTTTTTTTTTTTTTTTTTTTTTACACAGCAGATTGGTGCTTGGAAAATCACTGAATAAACGTTTCAGTAGATTAAAGCCATGAATGCCTTATCTTCTGATTCACATACTACTGGACATTGATGTGTAACTACTGAAACATAAAAGTGTCAGAAACAGTGAAATATATGCCAAATGATTCTAGCAACAAAGTATTTTTCATTAGCATTATAGAGCTTAATAATTATAATTAGCACAACTTGCGCTTCTGTAGCTTTTGGCATTATTTCTAAAGTGCTGTGCAAACAATCTATTAAAAAAAAAAAAAAAACAAAAAAAAACAAAAAAACACCAAAACCAATATCCTCAAAACAAAAATACTTCAAAAAATGAATATTTATAAGTTAATCTTAGCAACAGGGTTTTGTATACTTTGTTAAGTGTATTACAAAGCACTTTTTATCTCAGGGAGCTTCTCTGACAAATTATTTGCAATATATCAGTATCTTCTGTCTAGTCTCGCTTTTCAGTCCCATTCCCTGTAGCAGAAGTTGGAATCAACCACTTGAACAAAAAGATTTTGATGAGAAGGTTTGGGAATTACAGAAGCCAAGGTGTGCACTGAGAGGGCTGAATGTTTGCTAGAACTGCTCTGTGTATTTCACAAAGTGTATTCATCTGAACATTGCCTTCCTACACCTGGCCTGATGGGTTTTTCCTCTAAAACTCACAACATCAGCAAGGTTTATGTTGTGGCAGGACACAGATGGGGGACCCTTAGAGAAAAAAATCCGATGAAGTTACACCCAGGTTCAGAGAGACATGAAATCTAAGTGAACAGTCAAGGATGCTTTTGGAAAAGGTACTTCAGGATCTGAAAAGCAGAGAGAAAACATTTGGGGCACATTCAAACAGCTTAAATTCTACCTCAGTCTCTGTCTCTCATCAATGCTGAAAGTTTGACACCTCTGAAGAATAAGATACTAATTGGGCAGCTGCAGAAACACAGCCAGTAGAAAACACAAAGCACCAAGGACGTACGTGGAAATTAGGCCAGATGAGTTTAGCTCAAAATACATGAAAACTGGAGGCTGTTCAGAGCAAATAATGATGCTTTAAAATAGCCTTAAAACTAGTGCAAGCGGAAGAGGATATTTTCTGCTGTGTCTTATACCAGTGTGGATCAGGAATGGTCCCAGCAGCAGAATTACATCAATTGAACTAATACCTCCCTGGACCCAGCTTGCTGCCTTTGTTGATTACAGGGTAACTGTAACAATGATCTATCTGTTCTTTGTGAGTGAGATCATTACAATTATGTCTTTTCCCCTAGGACCTACAGCAAAGACTACAAAAGAGATTGGATTCAGAGAAACAAAACGCTAACCTTCAACAGTTTGCCAGCCTAAAATTAAACACGAATCAGTTCCCTACAGCATGTCTGTGTTGTCCAGCAGTC